AACATGGCTGGAGTGAGTCAAGAGAAATTAACATGGCTGGAGTGAGTTTAGCAAAATTAACATGGCTGGAGTGAGTCAAGAGAAATTAACATGGCTAGAGTGAGTCAAGAGAAATCGACATAGAGCATCAAGACAAAAGCTGGAAATAGGAAGGTGGGAGCTTCTCTTGGAATCCACCCATCCACTCCCACCTTGTCCCACAGGCATCGTGCAAGCAATATGTTCTTGGAGTCCTACAAAGCAGCATGGATTGTGACGGAGGAGCACAGCTTTGAGGACCGCATGATTGACGACCTCTCTGTGAGCAGGCACCCAATGGGCAGGGGGACCTTGTGGCAGGGCTAAGGGAGGGCGTAGATAAGGAAGATAGGAGGGAAGGACATCAGTGGGGTGAGGATGACCACTTGGCATCCCTTCCCAATGTGCCCCATCCTGCTCTCACCTTAAAGAAAGCTGGGGAGGAAGAAGAAGAGGAAGAAGAACAGGAGGAAAAGAAACCAGACCCTCTGCACCAACTGGTATTACACTTTAGCCGGACAGCCCTGACGGAGAAGAGGTGAGGGCCCTGAGGAGGAGTCATCCCCTCTCGCCCCTCTCCCAAGGCCCAGGAAGAACCAAAGGAAACCCTAGGGAAAGTCCACAAATCCTCAGGAGATACCTGGAGAAGCTCAGCCCTCAGATTCCTCAGAGAGATTTATCTCATATCCCAGGGGACATCTCTAATACTGGAAGGACATCCCTTCTCCCATACCCTAGGCTATCTCAAATACCACCCCAAGCACCAATTTCCCCTTTCCCCTTATTCCTCCCCATGCTCCAGCTAATCTCTTCCAAAACCCCTCCCCAGGTTCATTGGACATTGTTCCCCTTTATTTTATGTTCCAAAGTTGCCCACTTGCCTATTCTCCATACATTATACTCCACCTCCCATCTCCAGGCCTTTGCTCAGGCTGTACCCATGCCTGGAATGTACTCTCTTTTCATGTTCACCTATTAGAATCCTATTATCTTCCTTCAACGCTACACTCAGATGTTAATTCCTACTCCCTACATGAGGCCCTTTCTAATACTTCCCAATTGCCCTTCCTTCCCCTCAAATTACTTGGTATTTTCTTGTATAGATTTTTCCTTCCCTGTGTTCATGCTACCCACTCATCCTGGGTACATTGCCTACAAATACCTCCTGTATGTCTTGTCCCATACATTGGAAAGACCTTTCCTATCCCCTGGAGACACCCCCCCCCAATAGCCTAGGGAGATCTATTCCATTACCTTAGGGAGATCCTTCATTCCTTTGAAACATCTTCCCCTATGCCCTAGGGACACACCCTAACTATTTGTCCCCCAATCCTTTTCCAGCAAACTAGATGAGGACTATCTGTATATGGCGTATGCCGACATCATGGCCAAGGTAAGTACCCCTCCGCAACTCATCCCCTCCAGGCTAGCACAGGTGGGCTCCCCTCCTACTGTGGGCTCCCCTCCTACTGTAGCCACCCTCCGCTGTTGCCTTGGGAAGAGGAGGGGGACCTTTGCCCTTGCCAGGGCCTGAGGATGCCAAGTTTCCCCCCTCTCATTTACTGACTCTTGCCCTGCCCAGAGCTGCCACTTGGAGGAGGGAGAAGAGCATTCAGAACCTACTGAGGAAGAGGTTGAAGCCTCATTTGAGGTATGGAGGAGGAGGGATGGAGAAGACTGTCCAGGGAGGACTCCTCAGGGGACAGGACGCTGACACTCTCCATCCATCCTCCCCTCCCTCTTCCTCTAGGAGAAGGAGATGGAAAAGCAGAAACTCCTCTACCAGCAGTCCAGGCTCCACAACCGAGGGGCAGCTGAGATGGTGCTACAGATGATTAGCGCCTGCAAAGGTCTGCACAGCCCTGCCCTCCCATGCCCACACTCCCTCCTCTCACTCTGATCTCCCCTCCACACTCACTGCCCTATACCTGGCACCCTGAGCTCACCCACACTCATCTGTACCCTCATCAATCAATTAACCAAGTAATCAACAAGCATGTTCTAAGCACCCAGGTCCTCTGGTAGCCGCTGGAGATCCCAAGACAAGTGGGGAGAGTAGAGGGAGCACCGGGCCTGAAGTCAGGAAGACCTAAGCTCAAATCCAGACTCAGACACTGAGCAGCTGTGTGACCCTAAGCGAGTCATTTAACCTCATTCTGCCTCATTTTCCTCAACTGTAAAGTGGGGATAATAATAGTACCTACCTCAAAGGGTTGTTTTGAAAATTAAATGAAATGATATCTGTAAAACGTTTAGCACAGTGCTTGGCACATTGTAGGTGCTTTTAAAATGCTTATTTCCTTCTCTTCTTCCTCGCACGTTCACTCTGGCACCTCTCGGACTTATGTCTGCCAGTGTCTTGGGCGCTGTTCTTGCCTGCCCCATGGAGAGGCATGGGTGGAGGGCAGACCAGGCCTAGGCACTGAGTGGGTGCTGTCCTCTGGTAGGGGAGCCAGGAGTCATGGTGTCATCCACCCTGAAGCTGGGCATCTCCATCCTCAACGGGGGCAACATGGAGGTGCAGCAGGTACAGGGAACCTGGGGATGGGCACATGGCGGGTCGCCCTTCTTGGGGGTCCTCAGGTGAGGGCTGGACGCCTGCCCGTCAGGGATCTCACAGAGGGGGTGGGTTGGACCAGATGCTCTCAGGAATGCCTTCCATTCTGTGACTCCTCTGTGGGTCTGGGACAGGCAGATCCTGCCTGCCAGCTTGAGGCCCTCCCTCCTGCTTTTCTGTCTCCTGCAGAAGATGCTGGACTATCTGAAGGACAAGAAGGAGGTTGGCTTCTTCCAGAGCATCCAGGCTCTGATGCAGACATGCAGGTCTGTCCTGTGGGCAGTGGAGGGTGGGAGGGGCTGGACTAACAGAGAGATGGAGAGAGAGAGAGACAGAGAGTGAGAGAGCTAGACACACAGAGAGAGAGACAGACAGATCTGCAAGGAGCTAGGGCTCCTAGGGGCTACGCCAGGGCCTCACGTGTCTCCCTGCCCCGATCCCCTTCTCTATACCTCCTTTCCACTTAGTGTTCTTGATCTGAATGCCTTTGAGAGGCAGAACAAGGCAGAGGGGCTTGGAATGGTGACCGAGGAAGGGACTGGTGAGCCCCCTTCCCATCCCTATCCTTGGGGCCCCCTCTCCCTTGGGACTCCCCTTCCTATCCTCCCTTCCCCTAATCCTGGAGCTTCCTTTCCCCTAAGTAACCTCCCTTCCCCTTAAAACCTGTATCCCCATCCTGGGCCCCTCTAACTACAGGATCCCCCACCTCATCCCAGGGAACTCCCTTCCTAGGGCTTCATCTCCCCATGGGCCCTCATTCCTTTGGGCACCCCTTCTCCTGAGGCTCTGTTTCCCTCCTTCAAGGGTCCCCCCTCCCCCACCCTGGGACTCTCCCTCCTCCCTTTCCCCCATCTGGGTTGCTGTTTCCCCACTCCCATGAATGCCCCTAATCCAAGTTAATCAAGTCTCCTCTTTGCTGTGTTGTGATGTGTGGTACTCACCTCTTTCCCTGACCCCTGACCTGACCTCCTTATGGCCTCTTCATCCGCACCAATCTCTCCTCCTGTTCCTGTCTCTGTCCTCGTCCCCATTGCCTCTCCCCTCCCGCTCTCCTCTCCTTGTTTCTGTTCCACACCTCCCATCTCCTGCTCTCCTCTGCACAACTTTCTCCCTCAATTCTCATGGGTCTCTCCATGTGTTTCTATATCTGTCTCCATCTCTTGATCTCTGTGACTGTCTCTCTTTGTCTTCCTATATTTCTCCCCTTCCCTTCGACTCTGCCCCTCTCCTTTCCTGTCACTCCTTGTCTCTCTCTCTGTGTCTGTCTCCACGTCCGTCTCTTTCTGTCTCTTTTCTCTCCACATGTCCGCCTTTCCCTCTCTCCCCATTCTTCCCTCCTCCCATCCTGTCCGGCTGCCTCAGTCATCAATCGCCAGAACGGTAATTCCCCTGCCCACAGTCCCGTGTGCCACCCTGCTCTGCTAACCCTCCTTCCTCCTCCTGCCTACCCCGGGCCGGGACCAGGGACAGGATCAGAGACCAGGGACCAGAGGACAGACATCGGGAACTGAGAAGGGATGGGGCAGGAGGCAGGACCCAGGGCAAGATTGGGGGCTGAGGGGTCTTTGTTTACTGTAGGGTCTCTGGATCAACTGGCCCAGGACAGGCAGAGATGCCCTCCCCTAGACCCCAACTGCTCCAAGCTCCGGGCCCCTCTCTGATTGGTGCCCTTTCAATCCAGGTGCTCAGTTCTCCCAACTGGATTGGCTACTATTGGCCTGTCCCTTCTGATCAGGCTGGGTGGACCCCTTTGCGCCTGCTCTTAGCATTCCACCCACAGTCTGGCTTGCCCATCCTGAGGCCTGAATGGTTGGCAGATGTGTTCTGATTAGCCCATGGTTGACACCTGACCCCCCCCACCCCGCTCAACCTGATTGGCTATATTCTAGGCCCCCCTCCCCATATGTATTCACCCACACCCATCCCAGCTGCGCAGCGTTGTTCCTCTATCCCCCCCTCCAACATCATAGAAGCCCTGGAGAACTAGGCCCCTGGGTCCCCTCCACTGACCACCTTGGCCCTGTGACATCACAGGCACTGATATCATCATTCCTGATATCCTGGACCCTGAGGTCATTATGTCTATGTGAGGTCACAACCCTTGAAATCATCCATCTTATGATGTCATAAACCCTGAGGTTGTTATGGCCACGTGAGGTTACAACCCTCGAAATCACTCATCCTGTGATGTCATAGACTTTGAGGTCATCATGGCTATATGAGGTCACAACCCTTGAAATCATCCGTCTTATGATGTCATAAACCCTGAGGTTGTTATGGCCACGTGAGGTCACAACCCTTGAAATCACTCATCCTGTGATGTCATAGACCCCGAGGTCATTATGGCTATGTGAGGTCACAACCCTCAAAATCACTCATCCTGTGATGTCATAGACCCTGAGGTCACAGCCCTATGAGGTCATAGACTCTGACATCACTGGCTCCACAGGGTCACAGGTCTGTGATGTCCCACAGAAGTCACAGCGGGACTACCCAGGCATGAGTGGCGGTCAGCCCCTCCTCCGTTCCTACCCCACTGCCCATTCTCCTGATCCTGTGTGCTGTGTGCATGGGCCTTCTGCATGCCTGTTCCCCGGGGGACCTTGCCCCACAGCAGGCTGACTCAACAGGGCCCCCCTCTCTCTGTCCCAGGAGAAAAAGTGATGGCTGATGATGAGTTCACCCAGGATCTCTTCCGCTTTCTCCAGCTGCTGTGTGAAGGCCATAACAATGGTTCGTATGTGAGAGGAAGAGGAGGAAGGGGAGAGAAAAGAGGAGAAGGAGGAAAAGGAAATAAGGAAGAGGGAGAGGGAGAGATAGAGGAGGGAAGGGGAGAGATGGAGGAGAGAAAGACAGAAGAGAGAGGGGAGAGATAGAAGGGAGACGGAGGAGTCTCCAGGTCTGGGGCTGGACAGCAAAGTCCAGCCTGCTGGGTGCAGGGAAAGAAGGCCCTGGGCTTGGGAATCAGAAAAACTGGATTCAAGTCTCGGCCCGCTACCTGCTGGAGTCACTGAGCTGGCAGGGCCCGGTGTGACCATGGACAAGCTGTTTTACAAACTCTTACTCAGGCTTCTCTTGTCTACAAGGAGGGCCTTCCAGCTCTTGATATTCTGAGAGCCCCAGCTCCAGGACTTACTAGTTATGTGACCATCAGCAAGTCACTTCCCATTTCTGAATCTCAGTTTCCCCATCTGTAAAATAAGAGCAATAACACCTACCTCATAAGCCTGTGGTGACAATCAAATAAGATGGCGCTGAGTTTGATTCAACAAGCCCTAATTAAGCCCCTCCTGTGTGCCGGGCACACAGGAGGTACAAAGGTTAATCAGTCAACGAGTGCTTACTCCTACTACTGGCTAACATGCATAAAGCGCTTACTATGTGCCAGGCACTGTGCTAAGTGCTAGGAAAGGCAAAAACTAAACAGTCCCTGCACTCAAACTCTGGGAAACAGCAGTGTACAGGAGTAGGTAAATACAGAGAACATACAAAGGAGCTGGGAAAGCCCTAGCAAGGGCGGTGGAGAGCTGGGTGGAGGATGGATTGGAGAGGGGACAGGCTGGAGACCCATTAGGAAGCCATTGTCCTAGTCAGGAGGATTTGGGGAAGGCCTGAACTAAGGGGGTGCCTCTGTTGGGGGAGAGATGGAAGTAGATTAATTAGGCGTGGTGACGAACTGGACTGGGGGGAGGTGTTTTTAAAACCTTAAAAGCCAACAGAAATGTGAGGCGATGATCTGTCCCTCCCAGACTTTCAGAACTACCTCCGGACGCAAACAGGGAACACGACCACCATCAACATCATTATCTGTACCGTGGATTACCTGCTGAGGCTGCAGGTGAGCATCCCAGGCTAGGGGCGAGGGCAGCTGGAGGGCTGGGCCCCCACGCTCTCTCCACTCACCAGCTGCTGCCCTCAGGAGTCCATCAGTGATTTCTACTGGTACTACTCGGGGAAGGACGTGATTGAAGAGCAGGGGAAGAGAAACTTCTCCAAAGCCATGGCTGTGGCCAAGCAGGTCTTCAACAGCCTCACGGAGTACATCCAGGTACCCCGCCTCATCCCATTCCTATCCATGACCCTGCCCTCAGCACTTCCTGGCCTTGTAGACTCTAGCTGCAAGCTACCTCCTCCAGGAAGCCCTGGAGAACGTAGGATTGGGAGCTGAAAGGGACCACGGGCATCACTGAATCTAGCCACCTCATTTTACAGAGGGGGAAACTGAGGCACAGGATGAAAACAGGTTTGTCCATGGTTGCACAGAATTCAGACTTCTCTAAAAATGTTCTTTCCACTAGACCCCCAACTACTACACTTCATAGGAGTTTATCTAATCACATATGCATTTGTTAAGCAGGGAGAAAGAAAGAATTTTTTAAATTAATTTATTTTGAATTATCAACAATCACTTCCATAAGCTTTTGAGTTTTAAATTTTTCTCCCCCTCCCTCCCCACCTCCCTCCCCAAGACGGCGCACAATCTAAGAAGGAAATAAGTATTCAACACCTACTATGTGCCACCTAGCTAAAAGCGACCCCAGAAACCACCTGACTTAAGCCTCTCATTTGATGAACGGTGGGGAGGGAGGCAGGGTTCCCCTAGGTAGGCAGGCCTCCTCCAAAAGCAACATTCTTTCTCTGCCACACAGTGGGACAGCATCCCTCCACTGAGACTTTCCAAAAGTCTCTGTTTAGGGCCAGGTCTCCTCTGCCTCAGAGCCAGCCCAGCTCAGTCACCTTAAGGGCAGGGACAACCCCAGCACAGGGCCTAGCTTCATAAATGTTTGTGGAATACAAGTAGATTTGTTTGTTGAAAGACAAAAAAAAAAATTATTATCCCTGTCCTCAAGGAGCTCCCAGTCTAAGAGAGCCAGGACCTAAGGAATAAGACAGGGAGTCCAGTGAGGCAGCTACACTCCCAAAGAGGGATACTGAGGGTCTGTAGCAACGAGAGCAGCATCACCCACATGGAATCGACAGGATTTGGGAGGAAGGAGAGGGAAAGGAAGGGGAGGAACGGAAAATAGCTCAGAGGCGTTAGGCCCATGGCAGGGTGAAGGTCCCGTTTGTCTCCCCTGACCCAGCCTGGACAATAGACAATAGACATACCTAGGAAATATTTGCTAAATCATGGTGAATTCCACGGTGTGGCAAAAAGAGATTTGAAGTCAAAGGATCCTGGTTGAATCCAGTGCTTTGATGACCTTGATCTCCTCCTGGGTCTCACTTTCTTCATCAGTCAAATGAGAGGGTTGGACCTGTGTGGTTCTACGTCTTAGGAGCCTCAGTTTGTTATTGAAGGAGGGTGGGGATGGGGATGAGGGCTGGGAGGGGACAGCCAAGTGCTGAACCACCTCAACGTCCCCCTCCAGGGCCCATGCACAGGAAACCAGCAGAGCTTGGCCCACAGCCGCCTGTGGGACGCCGTGGTCGGATTCCTCCATGTTTTTGCCCACATGATGATGAAGCTGGCTCAGGTGGGGCTCTCCCTGATCAGTCTCTCTTCCACCTGGCAGGCCCTACTCTCCATCCTCATTGGCTCCCACAGGCCTTCTTCCTAGCTGGTCCATTTCCCATCCAGGGGGTTCCCTCCTCCCTATGGACTGCAGCTTCCCCTAATCAGACCTCTCTCTGAGCCCCCTTCCCCTTCTCTCTGAATATGTTCTCTGATCAGATTCATTCTCAGCTGGCCTCATCTGGCTAGACCTCTCCCCTCTTTGAGACTTGCTTTCTGATTTATCTGTTTCCCCTGGCTGCTCCCCACCTCCCTCTGCTTTGAGTCCCCAGAATATCCCCTCTACTGCCCAGACAATCCTCCCGATTTCCTTTTGCCCTATCATTCTCATCAGGCTGCCTCTGCTCCCGGGGGCTCGTTGGGGTCTGATGACCTCTCGCTTTCTCTGGCCTGCGGTGGGGGGTGTGGTGACGTGCTGGGGCTGGAGGACTTTTCTAGTTCTCTATCCCACCTGTGGTGGATGATGGCCCCTCCAGGGCACTATAGCGGGCATGTGAGACCCCTCCCTCCAGCACATATCCCAAACACACACATAGAATTCCTGTTCAGTCACATGAGGCTGCCTCATCCTAGGACTGGTTTCTGGGTCAGTCAGCATCTCTCAGCCTCTTGATAAGTCTCTATCTCCCTCAGAACCTGGGCCTTCCTTTCTACTACACTCTATCTTTCTCATTGTTTTGGGGTCTTTCTGCATTTCTCTACTTTTCTACATTTCCATCTCTATCTCCCCACGTCTCTGTAAGTATACCTCTGCCCTTTGTCTCTTTCTCTCTCTGTCTCTGTCTCTCTCTCTCTAAGGAGCAGCCCTTGGCTACCTCACAGAGGTCAGGAGGGGTTATGTCATGTACTGGGAATCTGGGGACCAGGTTAGGGGTTTGGGGAGGACCAGGACCCACAGTGTTGATTTAACGGAGACGGAAGCTACGGACCTTGACCGGGCTTGGCCATGTGGGGCGGGGGGCTTCTCCCTAGGACTCCAGCCAGATTGAGCTGCTGAAGGAACTGCTGGATCTGCAGAAGGACATGGTTGTCATGTTGCTGTCACTGCTGGAAGGTGAGCCAGAAGACACCCCCAGTCAGAGATAGCCCCAAGAAGCCTGTCTGAAACCCTGCCCAGGGCTCCTACCAGAGAAGTCCCCTTGGAAATCACCCACCCTACAGAGATCCGTCTCCCAAACCCCAGTCAAAACCAACTCTCCCCCAGAGACATACATTGAAATCCCTCCAAAAGAGCCTTTTCAACCTCCTCTCTCCCAGCATATAGTAGGCACTTAATGTTTGTTCACTTGATTTGAATATGCATTTATTAAGCAGTTGCTATATGTTGGACACTGCGTTTGGTAGGCACTACAGCTGTGAAGGTGGAAACCTAATAGTTCCCGGTCTCAAAGTGTTCTCAAAGAGCTTATGTTCTACCCTGTGTAGACGCTTCCTAGAGACCTCCCCTCGTGGAAATCCACCACCCTCCAAGGTTCCTCAGAGAACTCCCCCTTCCCGTCTATAAAGACCCCTGAGAGTCCTTCCCAAAACCCTGCTTAGAGCCTCATCCCTCAGAGTGGAGAGGCACTCTCCAGCAGATACTCCCAGGGTGATTCTCCTACAAAGACTCCTCCTAGAGACCCCCTAAGGATACTCTCCTTGTGAATCCCTCTCCCCGAGGATTGTCTTCAGAAACTTTCTCTGAGACCCTTCCCAAAGATATCATTCATAGAGAACTCCCCCCAGAAACCTTCCCCTTCCCCACATGGTACTCGCCACCAAAACCACCCCAGATCTCCCAAGACAACCCAGGAGAAATCCCCAGAATAGCAGGAAACCTTCTTATCCTGGCTGGACCTTAAAGAATGTGGGGGACCCCTGCTTGTCCCTTTAGGATGGAGAGGCAGTGGTAGGCAGAGGGGACTTTTGCCTCGATCTCACAGGCAGTAGGTGATGGACAGCAAAGGGACTAGATTTGGAATCGGAGGTCCTAGGTTTGAATCCTCACTTTTTCCCTGATTACCTTATTAATTGAATCACCTAACCACTTTAGGCGTCAATTCTCCCCTTCTGTAAAACCCCTCCAGCCCCAGATGTAGCCACTGTGCTCCCCAGCTGGCCCTGACGCTTCTGCCCCTCCTCCCCCACCCCTGCCAGGGAACGTGGTCAATGGCACAATTGCCAGGCAGATGGTGGACATGCTGGTGGAATCTTCCTCCAACGTGGAGATGATCCTCAAATTCTTTGACATGTTCCTGAAACTCAAGGACATCGTGGGTTCTGAGGCCTTCCAGGACTACGTCACCGATCCCCGGGGGCTAATCTCCAAGAAAGATTTCCAGAAGGTATGGCCCCATGACCACCTTCCCAGGGGCCCCAGGAGATGCTGGGCAGGAGGCTGGGCATCTCAGAAGGTGGCCTTGAATGGGGCCGTGTCTTGGGAGGCTCCACAGAGCAGGGGAAGGAAACCCCATCCCTGCAGGAGCCTGAGGACATGCTGGGGAATGGACAGTGAGTTACTGATGACCCCTAGCCTCTCCAGAAGGGGGACAAGAACAGGGGGCTAGGGAACCTCATGGGCATTTATCTGAGCATATAAGCCGCTGGAAAGCTAGGTTGACTGAATGGATCAAGGAATTATTCTGGGGGACAGTAGGGTGCCAAGGAGAAGGCTAAAAACAGAAGCTCCCCTTGGATGGAGACCAAAAATTTGGGTGGGAGGGCCCCTGGTGGGAGAACTGAGCCTACAGGAAGTTTGGAATTGGGAGGAGGTTACCTGCAAACCCCTTAGGAAAGAAAGCTCTGGATAGTGGAAGTGGGAGGTGAAGCCAGATACAGAAAAGGGAATCCTTGGATGGGACAGAATGTCAGTAGGGAGTCTCTTGGTGAGGTATCTCTGAGCTAACAGTTTGCAGGAGGAGATTTTTGGACGGCTCAAGTTCTGGTGAGGACAGTTGGGATATTATAGAGGAGTCCACGGACCAGGAAGGGAGTCAGGAATTCAGGAAAGGGAAATCTCTGGAGCACTACTGGACAAGGAAAGTTACTGAACGGGGCAAGTCCTGGGGGTGGCCCAAAGGTGCTGGAAGGACAAAGACAGAAGAAGCGTCCCTAGATGGGGCCCAGAAACTTGAGGAGACAGATGTCTGAGGGAGTCCCTTTATGCAGGCTGTCTAGGGAAGGGAGTTTCTGAAAAATGGGCATCTTAGGGGGCAGTGGGATGCCAGTATGGAGGATGGAAGAGGAGGCAGCCCTTCACTGAGGCCTGGGCTTCAGGGACAGGGATGCCTCCAGGGGCATGGGACTGCCACAGGGAGGGGGAATCATCCCTGGAAGGGTCTCTAGGAGAGCAGCCTTGGGGAGAGAGTTTGGACGACCCTGCAGGACACTGAGGCATTGGGGAGCAGGCTAGAGACCCGGTACAAAGCTACCAGAAGGAGCTAGCTAGTTTAATGGATAGAACTCCAGACTTGGAGCTGGGAAGACCTGAGTTCAAATGCTACCTCTGGCACTAACTAGCTGTGCAATCCTGTCACTTCACCTCTGCCTCAGTTTCCTCAACGTAAAATGGAAATAATGAGAGCACCTGTTTTGAGGTCAAATGAGATAATATTTGTCAAGTGCTTTGCAATCTTTAAAGTGTGATGGAAATGTTTTTTTTGTTTGTTTTGTTTTGGAGGTTTGTTTTTTTTTTTACCCCAAAAGTGGCTCTGGAATTGGAGGAGGGTTATTTCCCAGAGTGACTAGGGAAGGGAATTTCTGCATGGGTGAGTTTCCTGAGGAATAGTGGGGTAGATGAGATGGGAGAGTCAGTGAGGAAGCCAGAGGCAGGTTGTGACAGTCCCTCCTTGGAGATGAGATGGAGAAGAGGAAGAATCACTGAATGACCCGTGCCTGGGGACCCCTCCCTCCGCAGGCCATGGACAGCCAGAAGCAGTTCACTGGACCTGAGATCCAGTTCCTGCTGTCCTGCTCAGAGGCAGATGAGAACGAGATGATTAACGTGGAGGAGTTTGCCAGCCGCTTCCAGGAGCCGGCCCGAGAGATCGGCTTCAACGTGGCTGTGCTGCTGACCAACCTGTCGGAGCACGTGCCCCACGACCCTCGACTGCGGAACTTCCTGGAGCTGGCCGAGAGCATCCTGGAGTACTTCCGGCCCTACCTGGGCCGCATCGAGATCATGGGCGCCTCTCGGAGAATCGAGCGCATCTATTTTGAAATCTCGGAGACCAATAAGGCACAGTGGGAGATGCCCCAGGTGAAGCTCTGCCCCCGTCATGTGTCCCCTAGGGGCTCTCCCACAGGCCAGTCACCCCTCTCCGCTCAAGTGCTCTTTCAGAGAAAGGCCTTGCCCCCCAGAGCCCTCACAGACCCCTTCCCTACCCCCCAGCCCCTCTTGCACAGTCCTCCCTGGCTCAGGCCCTTTTTGCTCCTTGGCCCTGCCTGTCTGTGCCCTCCTAATAACCTGCCTCAAAACTCTCCCACCTCCAGCACATCCCCTTGGCACTGCCAAAATGATATTATGTTCCTAGAACTTAGGTATGAGCATATCACACCCCGGCTCCAGAAACTCCATCGGCTTCTTGTCATCTCTAGATTTAATACAGCCTCCTTGGTTTGGCCTGGCTCCCACAATAAATATTCCCCCTCAGGCAGTACACCCTCCAGTGTGCTCTATCCGTCCTCCATTCCCGCCATCCATTCCACCGAGCACCTCTGGATGGGCTCCTGAGGGGGGGCCCTGTCCTCACCTCTGCCACTTGGAAACTCTTCTGCTCTTCAGCTCAGGCTACCTCCTACAAGAGGCCCTCCCTGGTTGCCCCAGACCTCTCTAAAATGCCTCTGGATTGACCTGTGTATATGTTACTGCCCCCATACAATAGGAGCCCCTGCCTGGCACACTATAGTAGGCTTCAATTAAATGCTTGTTGAATGGAATCCTTCATCCTTTCCCTGGAATTCTCACCCAGATCCCAGGTGTGCGTACGCCAAATAACCCTCTGGTGTCCTTGCACACTCACTGCCTTTCTTTGTATAATAATCTCCCCATTCACACATACACCCAGCATGCTCATACATGGCTTGCATACTCATCTTCCAAATTCCCCGCAGATATTCTCGTCTACCTCTTGCACACTCAGCCTCCTCCCCTTGCACACTCAGCCTCCTCTCCTTGCACACACTCAGCCTCTATATATGTCCCTAGCACACTCTGAAGCACCTCTCCTCCAAATGCCCCTAAGACACCCTTGCACACAACCATGCCCATTCTCACACAAATTCTCCCATGCCCCCCACACTCCTCTTCCACACGCCCCTCAGGAATCTGCACCCTCGTCCCTCCCAGCGTCCCCCTTTCTTCACTATCCCCGGCCACCCCCCCACTCACTCCTCACCATGCCCTTGCAGGTGAAGGAATCCAAACGCCAGTTCATCTTTGACGTGGTGAATGAAGGGGGAGAGTCGGAGAAGATGGAGATGTTCGTGAGCTTCTGTGAAGACACCATCTTTGAGATGCAGATCGCTGCCCAGATCTCAGAGCCCGAGGGAGAGCCTGAGCAAGACGAGGATGAGTCTGCAGCAGAGTCTGGGCCAGACGCACCCGAGGCAGGACCAGACGGAGAAGGGGCCTCCGCGGGCGGCCCAGCAGGCATCTCTGGGCATGTGGTAGGGGCGGCGGCGTGGGTCCTGCGACGGCTGACCTACCGGAGCCTTCGGCGGCGGGTGAGGCGGCTCCGGCGACTGACCCTGCGGGAGGCCGCAGGTGTCGGGGCTGGACTCATCTGGGCCGGGGTGACGTGGACGGGCACAGGAGTGATCGGCGCCACCCGGGGGGCCCTAGGTCTGCTCTGGGGCTCTCTGTTTGGTGGAGGGCTGGTGGAAGGAGCCAAGAAAGTGACAGTGACAGGACTGTTGGCTGGGATGCCAGACCCCACGGGCGATGAGGTCCACGGGGAACAGGCAGCTGGTGCAGGGACTGTTGGGACTGGGGATGGAGCAGTGGAAGGGGATGAGGAGACAGGGGGAGAGCCTGCTGATGGAGAGGCTGAGGCCGAGGCTGGAGCTGGGGAGGCTGGACCAGCTGGAGGAGAGGGGGCCGGGGCAGACGGAGGCCCCTTCCGGATGGAGGTTCCTGGAGGCCTTGGTGACATGGGAGACACAACACCAGTTGAGCCGCCCACTCCTGAGGGTTCCCCGATCTTCCGGAGGAAACTTGGGGTGAGTGGGGACATGTGTCTATGTGTGTGAGAGAGGGAGAAGAGGAGAGGAGAGGGAGAGAGAAGAGGAGAAAGAGAGGGATACAGACAGGGAGAAAGGAAGAGGAGGGGAGGGTTGAAGGAACAGGAGAGGGGCCATACATACTGAGGCCTAGGGGCAGAGCAGATGGATGGAGAGAGGTCACAGATAAACAGGAAGGGCAGGCACAAAAAGAGGATGGGGAGGAGAGAAACAAAGACCAAAGGTGAGACGTGGATCCACAGACAAACAGTAGGGTATACCTACATGGAATGACAGGCAGATAGAAAGAAGGAATAAAGACAGGAGAGAGACAGAGTGCCCAAGTAACTGCTCGAGAGAAAACCGAGGAAGAAAGCAGGGCTGGGAGGGAGTCCTGAGGAAGCCAGATGTAGACAGAGGAGGAGAGAGGGACGTTCGCAGACACCAAAACATGGAGGGAGCCCTGGGCTGGAAGGATCCAGAGAGGGGTACTGAGCCCATGCCTCCCCTCCTCTGCCCACCCCTAGCTGGAGGAAGGAGAAGAACAAGCCCTTGAAGGAGAACCAGAGCCAGAACCGGAGCCAGAACCGGAGCCAGAACCTGAACCCGAGAAAGCTGAGTGAGTGGCCTTGCTTGACCCCTGACCTGGACATGGGCTAGCCCTGACCTCTGTCCTCCAGCACCCTGCCTCTGACCTCTCTGGATCATAGTGGGAAGAAGACTGAATTGAGAGTCAGAAGGCCTGGGTTTGAATGCCGACCCTACTTCTGATCACTCAGGTGACACTGGGCCTGAGTGGCCTATCCAGGGAGGCAGGAGGCTGGAGCGAGTCATCCTGAAGTTTCCAGCCAGCTTTCGATCCCATAGTGCCAATGCTCACTGAGCTTGGGGTCACTGGCTGCAGTTACAGGGAGACCCTGACAATCTTGCCTTATGTTCTCTCTCCTCCCCCCTTCCTCCTCCCACCATCCAGTGCTGAGAATGGAGAGAAGGAAGGGGCCCAAGAGCCTGCACCTGAGCCTCCCAAGAAGGCAGCTGCCCCATCTCCACCTCGCAAGGAGGAGGCCAAATCTGAGGGCCCAGACTTCTGGGAGGAACTCGAGGTGCAGAGGGTCAAGTTCCTGGTAAGGACCAGCCTGGAAGGTGGGAGGGATGGCCGTGTAGGATCAGGGGGGAGGAGTCCAAGGCCCCCAGAGTCCCTCCCGAGGGCTCATCCAGACTCCCCCACCCCAGTCCTCAGTTCTGTGCTGGGCTGGACAGGGAGCTCAGGCCCTCCCTCTTTCCCTCTCTCCCGACCCTGCCAGAATTACCTCTCCAGAAACTTCTATACCCTGAGATTCCTTGCTCTCTTCCTGGCCTTTGCCATCAACTTCATCCTGCTCTTCTACAAGGTATCAAGTAGATGGAAGGGCCCAGGGGGCAGGTTTGGGGGGACTCCTGGGTCCCTTGGGAGCCTGAGTGACTGGGTCCTCAGTCCATCAAGCAGGGAGGGAATTGGCCTTCTGGATACGTGGGTCCCCTCATCCCCTGCAGAAAGCAGGTTGAAGGCCAAGGTATGTTGGCACCCTAATAGAAAGGGCAAAAGGCACCTGGAAACCAGGCATCCATCCCTCTTCAACTGGGTGATAAAGGATGGGAGGCTGGATATGAAGGTCCTTAAAGTGGGTAAGGGTCTTGGGATCTGGTCCTGGGGCCCAAGAATCCTGATTCTGGTGTCCAAGGACCTGAGTTCAAACATTGCCTCTGACTCTGTGTGGCCTTGGGCTAGTCAGCTAACCTCCCCAGGCCTCAGTTTCCTTATGTGTAAAAAGGGGAATGGGTAGAACCAGATAAACCATGGAGATTTCTTCTGCTCTCTATCTCGGGTCCTCTGATCCAGGTGCCTGAGCCTTTGTGGTGGCATGGGGGATTGAAGTCTAGGCACCCAGACCCCCAGTCCTTGGTTCCCCTAGAGCTACTGATGATGCCCAGACCCTTCCCTGACCATGCCCATGCCCTCCCTGCAGGTCTCTGACTCTCCTCCGGGTGAAGAGGACCTGGAAGGCTCAGGGTTCGAAGGCCTGGCAGGCTCGGGGGCTGGAGACTTCCTGGGATCTGGCATGGGCTCAGGGGCTGGGGAGGAGATGGAGGATGACGAGGAAGAGAACATGGTCTACTATTTCCTGGAAGAGAGTACGGGGTACATGGAGCCTGCCCTTCGAGGACTCAGCATCTTGCACACCCTCATTGCCTTCCTCTGCATCATCGGCTACAACTGTCTCAAGGTGGGGCTGGGGGAGGGCCAGGTCCAGGGGCCGACCTGAGGGGGCAGGGTCTCGGCCCAACTTCTGGCCACCAGGCTCTGCAGACCCCTGATCTCTGAGGTCTCCCCTCCCCGGTTCCCCCAGGTACCGCTGGTTATCTTTAAACGTGAGAAGGAACTAGCCCGAAAACTGGAATTTGATGGTCTCTACATTACTGAACAGCCTGAGGATGACGACGTAAAGGGGCAGTGGGATCGTCTGGTGCTTAACACCCCGTACGGTGCCGGAAGTCCCCTGGGGAGCCCCTGAAAGACTTGAAATAGGAGGGGGAGCTGGGGAATGAAATTCAAGAAAGAGACTGGGGGACCAGACAGAAGGGGAAGCTATGGGAGAGATACTGGGAGGGGAGGGACCCCAGAGAGGGATTAGGAGGGCCGGGGAAACAGGGGATCCCAAGGAAACAAGGGGGAAGCATAGGAGATACTGGAGAGCTAAAGGAGAGATAGGGAAGAGCCCAGCGTGGCAGATGCTGGGGGACGGCAGAGGACGGGGCAGGAGTCAGAGTGTGAGGGTGGAATGGGGGCTCCCAAAGAGAGTTGGGCACCCCAAAAAGGGAGGCAGAGAGATCACGGAGGGAGGGACCAGGGGAAGAATTAAGACTTCCAGGGCCTGGGGAGCTAAAGATCTGGAAGTCCCCTGTTCTCACAACCCATAATTTCTTCCCCCAGATCCTTCCCCAGCAACTACTGGGACAAGTTTGTGAAAAGAAAGGTGAGGAGGCCCATAGGGAATGGAGACCCTCACCTCATTCCCAATTCTCTTACCCTTCACAGGGTCTTCGAGAGTAGCTAATTTGTCTTTTCCTGGGACCCGTTGTGTCCAAGGGACATCCTCAATTCTTCCTTCCCCTACTTCCCTAGGTGCTGGAAAAACACGGGGACATCTTTGGCCGGGAGCGAATTGCAGAGCTGCTGGGCATGGATCTGGCCAGCCTGGAGATCACAGCACAAAACGAGAAGCGACCAGAACCCCCCTCGGGACTGCTCAGCTGGTACAGGGCCAAGCTGAGCCAGCCGGGTTGGTGGAGGGGGATGAGGGAGCTCCAGAAAGGTTCTAGCCTATTCACTGCTTCCATATCCTTCCCTTAGGATCATGTCTATAGATGTCAAATACCAAATCTGGAAATTCGGCGTCATCTTCACCGACAATGTGAGTAGGGCGGGGGCCACCAAGGTGGGAAGGAGGAGAGCCCAGAGGATACTCTCTCAGAGTGTGCTTTGATACCCTTGGTTATCCTTTGGGGCCGCCCAAAGTGTCTCCTGCCTCTCTAATACCCCCAAAGTGTGCCCGACTGCTCCCTAAAGTGTTCCTTGTTGCCCCAAAAGCATTTAGACTTGTGCCTCCTCAAACTTTTTTTCTGAACCCCCTCCCTTGTTCCCTTGCTGTCCCCCAGTCATTCTTGTATTTGACCTGGTACATGGTCATGTCCCTCCTCGGCCACTATAACAACTTCTTCTTTGCTGCCCACCTGCTGGACATCGCCATGGGAGTCAAGACCCTTCGAACCATCCTGTCCTCTGTCACCCACAATGGGAAGCAGGTGTGTGGGACAGCAGGGGAGGGAGCTGGGGGAGGCTGGGACCTGACCCAGCCAAGATGGGGTGTATGAGTGCTGGCCCTCTCACCGGTACCTGGGGCTGTCCCGCAGCTGGTGATGACGGTGGGTCTGCTGGCGGTCGTGGTCTACCTCTACACGGTCGTGGCCTTCAATTTCTTCCGCAAATTCTACAACAAAAGCGAGGACGAGGATGAGCCGGACATGAAATGTGACGACATGATGACGGTGAGGTGGCCTAGGGGAGACGCTGCGTCCTGCGCACAGGGCATGGTTCAGAGTCACTTCTTTTTCCTTGGAGCCTGGGTCTCCCTGTCTGGGCCAGTTCGCCCCTCTCTTAGTAGCCTGGTGGCATCCCACTCCCCGGGGGCTCACTCTGTGGGTGCTAGACTTAGCGGGGGCACCCGATGGCTTTAGGCCACTGCGGCTCAGAACCCCAGAGCTGAGGGTACGCGCCGGCCTCAGCCTCCTCCGGGTGCAGGAATCCCAGGCACGTGCCAGGCTGGTTCAGGCTCTGCCTTGCTTCTCCTTCCTCAGTGTTACCTGTTCCACATGTACGTGGGTGTCCGAGCCGGCGGGGGCATCGGGGATGAGATTGAAGACCCAGCAGGGGATGAATACGAGCTCTACCGGGTGGTCTTCGACATCACCTTCTTCTTCTTCGTCATTGTCATCCTGCTGGCCATTATCCAAGGTCGGGAGTGCTGGGGGGCCTAGACTTGGGAGAGAGGCGGGCCCTTGTCATGCAGGGTCAGGGGTCAGAGCTGGAACACTCAGAGGTCAGAGGATCAAAGCGCTAGAGGCCATCTGACAAACGAGGAAACTGAGGCTCAGAGAGGTTAAGTGTGCTAGTATGTGAAGCAGAAACTGAGGCCAGTGCCCTGGTCACTCTCCTACACTGCGTCACAAACACACTCTTCACCCGCATTTATCTCCAGGACTCTAGGCTGGGGGAGAAGGGGTCCTGGGAGGGGAGTGGTCAAAGCCGGAGAGGGGATGTGATGGACGTCAGGGTCAAGGGAAAGGGTCAGAATGGAGTGATCGTGACCTGTGCTCCCCTCCTCCCTCAGGTCTGATCATTGATGCTTTTGGGGAGCTCCGAGACCAACAAGAGCAAGTGAAGGAGGATATGGAGGTGATAGCCCTGGGGGAATCTGGGAAGAGAATCTGGGAGGTCTGGGGAGCGTTTTGTGCGATCCAAGTGCGTTCATTCAGCAGGCAACATGCCTACTGTGTGCAGGGCCCTATGCTTGCTGCTAGGACTTCCCAGACTCGGGAGTCACCTCGGGGGGAGGGCTGGGCAAATCAAGAGGGCACATCTGAGTATGGTACAGAGTAGTGCATGATAGGGTCGAGGATCTCACAGCACGACGGGGACTGACAAGTCCTCAAAGATGAGGGCCAGGAGGAATCTGAGGAGGGACCAAGAGAACACTTTTCCCTAACGAGCCAGGGGAGAGGGGGAGCGAGCACTGGTCTGTGCAGCAGCTGGGGAGGAGGAGAATATGGGCAGATTTGAGGGTCCTGGGGAGTGCGTGAGAGGGAATTGGGGGTCCCAGGGTGACCCTGACAGGCTTTGGGGGTTCTTGATAACTGTGTAGGATTTATAGGCCCCAGGGGTATGGGAAGAGCTTTGAGATCTTGAGTCAGGGGGTGTCTAGAAAGGGCTGTGGAGGGTCGGGGGGGGGGGGTTCTTGTAGAGGCTCTCTAGAAGGTTATCGGGGAGGGGCTCGGGAGGGTCCCACGGGGATATAGAGAGGCTGACCAGATCTCAAGCCCCGATGCTTCCCTTCTTCCCCCATCCCACTGTCTGCCCCCAAGACCAAATGTTTCATCTGTGGCATTGGAAGTGACTACTTTGATACAACACCCCATGGTTTTGAGACCCACACACTGGAGGAGCACAACCTGGCCAACTACATGTGAGTGCTGGCTCTGCTGGCCAATCAGGGACGGGAGAATTCCAAAGAGACTGGAGAAACTGAAGGGATACCCAGGGGAGAAGAAAGCAGGTAGAAGGAGGTGGGGGCTCAAGGTCCCCTTAGGACATGTTCGTCCTTCCCCGTTAGGTTCTTCCTGATGTATCTGATCAACAAGGATGAGACAGAGCACACAGGACAGGTGAGGGGGATTGTGGGATACCTGATGGGGAGGACATCCAAAAACTTGGGACACTTTGGGGGGCTCTGGAGGAGGCCTAGATAGGAAGAGGAGATGCTGGAACAGGGATGCATGAGATAGCCTCGGGGGAAAAGGGGGTCCAAGAGATTCAAACCAGGAGCATTGACTTCCCATCCTTCCTTCCCTTGCCTGGGCTGTCTGCCCCATCCCTTCTCCCACTAGGAGTCCTATGTCTGGAAGATGTATCAGGAACGCTGCTGGGATTTCTTCCCAGCTGGTGACTGTTTCCGAAAGCAGTATGAAGACCAGCTGGCCTGAGAAACCGAGGCTCCCCTTCATTTGCCCTCACCTCAAGTGCCTTATGCCACTTTGGGGAATCCCCTGTCCTGGGGCTCAGCTCCCCTCAGTGCAACATATCTGGTGGGAAAAGGGCCGCTCTGGAGTAAAGGGTTTCTTCTGTAGTTGCAGTTGGGTGTGCTGGGGTGTGATTTGGAAGCGTTCTGGGGCAGGAGGTTGGAGGTGGGGGTGGGGGCATTCAGAGATTCTTCCATCAGACTTTAGAATCATAGATACAAAAACTGGGACCCCGAAAATCCCAAATACAGACGCCGAGACCCCTGGGATGGAACATCGTTGTGATCACAGAGATGGGAGGGGAAGGGGGTCTAGGAGTAATTGTGTCCAGCTCTCCCAAGTGGATGAACAGCCGCCAGAAGTGAGGGTGCAGGATCATATTTATTGGAAACATCTGTGTGTGTCTGGGGTCGTGACAAAGCTCTCAGTTTGGGCTCAGCCGGACCCAAGCTTCACTCCTGGATGTACAGATTGCTAGGAGCATTGGGGTCATTGGCAGGGCGCGTCTCCAACACCACAGGCCTAGGAAAAGCGGGGATACACATACGTTAAGAATGTCCTCCCAGGATTGCCCTCCCACAACTTCCCTGCTGTCAGCATCCTCCCTTCTCACCTTGGAGACCCCAGCAGGCGAAAGGTAAGAGAAGGGTCTCTTAGCTCCTGAAGAAGCTGTGTAAGGAGGAAATAGGTCAACGCAGCTCACACACATTTCAAATGCTGCACAAGGTCCTTTAGACATCCTCTAGTCCAAACACCCCCTCCCATTTCACAGATGGGGAAACTGAGGCCTAGAGAGGGGAAGGCAGTTGCCCAAGGACAGAGTATGGCAGGAGCAAAGTCAGAACTAGAACCCAGGTCTTGTGACTCTTTCTGGGGAGGAAGATGTTGGACTGGAAATGGGTGGGAGTACTGACAGCTGAGCAAGGTGGTCAGGGGGGTTGAGGGTACCAGGGCTCTGGAATCTCACCTGGTCAGAGCCCACAGCCCACACCTGCACACCATGTTTCCAGAAGACCTGGATCCGGCCACCAACCAGGGCTGGAAGGGGAAGGGGGGGAAGGGTTTTGGTTAGCGCCGACCAATGGAGCACTCACTCCCATAAAGCTCCAAGCCTCATCTCCGTAAGCCTCCTCACCCCTACATACCTACAGCCTCCACTGACTCACTGAGGGGGAGCTCTGGGGCCCTCAGCCCCCGTACTGGGGTCCCCTCCCTAGTCACCAGCTTCAGGTTCCCTTCAGGGATAAGAAAGAAAAAGGTCATGAGGTTGGGGTTGGGAAGAACAGGGGTCCTTAGGGGTAGGAATGGAGGGGAGGACATTGGGGGTGCTTATAAGGGGCCCTGGAAGTGAGAATGGGGTTCTGGCCATTCTCAGGAGGTTGGCCCTGGAAGGCTCAGGGAATAGAAAGGAGCCTGAGGGAGAATGTCAGGGACAATCACAGGACAGTTGGGAGATCCCGGACGGTTGTAAGGGGGTCGAGGGAATGCAGGATCAGTTGGGGGGATGTCCTGGGGGATTATATGAGGGTCAGTTCTCAAGGGGCTGGAGAAGTTTTAGAACATTATCCAAGGGGTCAGCAGCAAGCCGGATGTTGCGAGGAGGAGGCTGGAAAGCTAGGGGAGGTCTTGAGTATACTGGGGAATCCTCGGGGCCCTGGGTTTCTTAGGGGTTTGGCCTTGAGAGGTGTCTCTAGGTCCAGGAAGAAAGAAGTCTGAAGTTTAAAGAGGGAAAACACCCCTGTTCTCAGTGGGTTGTAGGGAAGGAGGAGGAAGGGGCCGGGAACCCCCAGAGGGCCCCACTAACCATTTAGCAGCACCAGGATCAAGTCATCTGCCAGCTGGGTCACCTGCACCGGACCTTCACTCTGTACTGGAAATGGAGATGAAAGAGGGACCTGAGGCACCAGCCAGGCCCCGACCCTCCACTGAGGCCCCGCCCCTCCATCAAACCCCTACCTCTTCCATAAGACCCCACCCTTCCTTCAACGCCCCCATCCCAGCGCCTTCTCTGAGGCCCCGCCCCGCCCCCATCGTAAATCCCCACCCCTTCTCTGGGGTCCCGCCCCCCTCCCAGAGACCGCATCGTCCGGTCCCCCCCTTACTGCCTCCTGTGGTCCCAAACCAGCTGGAGAGAGGGCCAAGTCGGACATTATGGAAGCACACGGAGCCAGCAGGCCCTGGGCTCACGCCCACGCACACCTCCGGGAGCTCGGGCCCAGGCGCCGCCAGCAACGAAAACACTCGCAGCGGGGACGGCAGCGGGAAGGGTACCTGCTGCAGAGAGGGAGAGAGGGAGAGGGGCGTGCCTTCCAGCCATCGACCAATGGCAACTCGCGCCTGAGACGGGGCGGGACTACCGGGAGGCCGGGAGGGCCGAACCTCCCTGGGGAGGAGGGGACAAGACCGCCATTCACTGGCCAATGGGGGCGCGGACTTTCGATGGGGCGTGGTTTAGGCAGCAGTGGGCGGAGCTCACAGCAAGCTGGTTTTACCCACGGGGCCCCAGGGCTAGGGCACAGAGCAGGAGTAGGGGTGCGTCCTGGGGTTCCCACCCTCGGCTCAGAACCGCCCCTCGCGGGCCCAGATACCCTAATGAGCATGAACTTCTCCATGGGCGGATACCACTGGAGCAAGATGGCGGCAGCCTCCATCGCGGCGCACAGATACGGGCCCCCGGAACTGGGGCTCTCAGCTGCAGAGTGGGGTGCCAGGTCATGCCCAGACCCTGGGCCCCCCGCGACACATCCTCCACTAACCCAAGAGAGGCCTCCTCCAACTGGGACCCCTCTAACAGAGATGCCCAGTCACCCCAACGCAGACGTCCTGCATCTCCTCCCACTGCCCACTATCATTTCCTGCTCAGTTCCCTCTGAGAGCCTTCCCCCAGGGATACCTCAAGACCCCCAGATCATCTCATGCAAATGCGATCTTCAGTCCCTTCCTCAGTGGGCACCCTGACTCACCTTGTGCCATCCTACGGCTGGAAATCCCTAAGACACTCCACCCCAGCCCAAGTGGAAGCCCCAAAGAATTCCAAGCCTGAGTCCCTGAGCCCCACTCACTGAGGTTTGAGAGTTACCACCATCACTGATACTGGAACTCTGTTACTAGCATCCTCTCTCTACTAGCATCCTCAGAACCCTTCCTAAGTTTTGGGGTTCACTCACCCACACAGCAGGCACGGCAACCCCGAGTGTCCTGGATTTTGGTGGATACCACATTCTTCCTGAGGAAGTAGGGGAGGGAGCGTGAAATTAGGAAGGGTCTTCTGGAAGGAGGGGGGATTTCAGAGTGATGTTGGGGTGATGTTGAAACCTGGGCAGCAGACGGTGGGGAGTGATATGGGAAATGGGTCCCCCTGTTCTTGTCTCCTTGCGATCCAGCAGTCCCAAGAGGCTATGTGAATACAACTGGGGGGTCTTTCCTGGGAGAAAAGATGAGAATCAGGATCTCAAGGATGCCTCCTCCATCAGACCCCCTCCAGGGAGTTCCCCTCATTCTTCCACTTCTCTCTGGCTCTCTCAGGCCCCCATCTCTCTCATATCTCCCAGTCTGCTGCCCATCTCCTCCTTTCAACTAGCATCCCCATCACATTCCCTCTACCCTCCTGTCCCCCATCCCTAACATACCTGACAGGGACATTAGGACATTGTTGATACAGTAAACCCAGGTTGTCCGGCTGGGGAAAAGCTGAGGAGAGAGGGAGGGAAAGAGGAAAGGGGTCTTCAATTTGTCCTTATCCCATCCATTGTCCTCCTAACCAGGACCCTACCATACTCACCATCTCCAACATGGCCTCCTGGTCATTTCGGTTCAAGACGAAGATCCCCTCCTCAGCCCCCAAGAGCAAGTGCTGATCTGATCAAGCCGAAAAAAAAGAGGCACAGGCTGCCTGAGCCACATCCTTGGGGCTCTTTTTGGCCAGGCCTCAACTCTCTCATAGCCCTTCCCTCCCCACCTTCCCCCAGCCAGCCCTTACCAGGTGCATCCTTGCCCCAGCTCTGGCCCTTACTCTCTCTGTGTGGTCTTATGCAAGCTCCTCCTACTCTAGGCCTCCCTTTTCCCATCTGTAAAGTAAAAAGTGTGCACTAACAGGTCTCTAAGGGCCCTACCTGGTGCTGACATCTATGATTCTGACATTGTAAGAATCCAGGATTCTCTTCCCATGCCCACTGCCAAACCCTCTGCCCACCTCCAGCCCCACCCTGGTGCCCTCACCCTTGGTCGTGGGGTGTGTCCAGGCAGCAGTACTGCTGGTGTGGAGGGGACAGCCATTGAATACTTTCACCAGGAGGGCACAGTCCTAGGCACGATGAGGAGCAGACCCAGTCATGAGGACCCTGGGAGACCCTGGGAAGAACAGAGAAACCCCCTCCTCCCACTACCCCTAAATGTGTGGCACTATCAAGGACACAGATTTCCTATACCCGGTCATTCCAGCCAAGGTCCTCCTCTGATTGAGTCCCTCCCCCTCCCCCAAGCCATAGGTTTCAGGGGTCCTCACCTTTTTCCTTTTCTCTTTCTTGGGAGGCAAAATGGGAGGCTGGTTGGACCCTGAGGGGGATGGATTCCAGAGGGAGGGGTCTGAAAAGATAATCATCCCTGGTATTTACATAGCACTTTCAGGGCAGTAAAAAGTTTTACATATATTATTTCATAATAGTAATAATAGCTAAGACTTAAAATAGCATTTTAAAGGTCAGCAAAGTGCTTTACATATGTCATCTCATTTTGCTCAATCAACAAACATTTATTAAGCGCATACTCCTGAGTCAGACACTGGGGATAGAAAAAGAAAAAAAGAAACAGTTCCTACCCTAAGACTTTCTATCGGGGGAAAGGAAGCGTTCCCACACAAGCAAAATAAAGGATAATTTGGCAGGAGAGAGACAAGCTTCTGGAGGGATGAATAAAGAAAGGCCTCATGTAGAAAGTAGTGCCTGAACTGACCTTTAAATGCAACTGGACAGTCTAAATGAGGAAGTGTGAGTGTGTGTGGTGTGTGTGTGTGTGTGTGTGTATGTGCACATGAGCGTGCTGAGAAGAGGGGAGGGGGAGGGGGGAGACAATTCAAAGGCATGAACACAGGCCATGATGGAATATAGGCCAGCTGGGCTAGTCTACAAAGAGCATGAAGGTATAATATGCTTGGAAAAGCAGGATGAAGCCAGGCGGCAAAGGGCTTTAAAAATCAAACAAAGGCATCTGCATTTGATTCTAGAAGTAACAAGTGCCCACAGGAGGAATCCAGCTGTTAGCTACATTTTGCAGATGAAAAAACAGATGAAGATGAGGCTCAGATAGGTTAAGTGATTTGTTCATGGTCGCATGGCCAGCAAGTGTCCCAGCTGAGGGTCAAACCCAGGGATCTCCTGCCTTCTAATACAACATCCATTGTTTCATCAGCACCAGATATCCAGGTTCCCAGCTGGGAAGCTCCTTCCCTCAATTGAATATCCCACCTCACCCCAGTTACCTGATCGAGCAGAGAGGTGGGGACTTCGGGGGGCCACAGGAGGCCCAGGGCGGGGTATGCGGGGAGGAGGTCCACTGGAGCATCGAACCAAGACCCCGGGGCTCAGCCTCCCATCATCACTAGAACCTTCATCTGATGGGTTCCGGATTTTGGACTGCAAGGAGAGGCAGGAGGGCATACCAGTAAGACATGCCTAGAATTCTTCTCCTTTTCAGTGTCCCAGAGGGAAACTGAGTCAACTGCCCAACCCTGGAAGGACCCAGTATGCATTAGGAAACCCCATCATCCTGAGTCCCAGTCCCTTGAGGATCCCCTCATTCCAGTCACCAGTCCCTGAGGGGATTTTGGTAAATTGACCCCGAAGCCCTGGGGACCCTGGAATCCCAGCCCCCATGTGTCCCCATGATCTCACCTTGGGGGGGAGCGGGGGAGGAACGTCCACTGTAGGAGCTGGGCTGAAATAGGAATTTATCATGAGAGTGATCTGGCATCAGTTTGTCTTTGGGGACTCAGGGAATTGGGGACTGAGAAATCGGGGGTGCTGGAGACTGGGATAACAGGGAGGGTGCCTAGTAGGGGTAGGGTTGGCTCACATGTCCACATCATCATAATCGTTGTCTGAGTCATCAGACTGTTCCCTGAAAAGAAAAGAGCAAAAGCTGAACCTCCCAGAAATCCTCCTTCCCTCCAGCTGTTTCTCTGTTCCTATCTGTCTCCTCAGTCCCAGGCTCTCTTTGCCTTCTGTCAGTCCCTCACAGTCTCTGTCTTATCCTACCCCTCTCTGTCTTCTCAATCCATCTCCTCCAATGTCTTGTCATCCCCCAGTCCCTTCTCTGTCCCTTTTCATTTCTTCAAGTCTCTTTGTCATCTCCCCCCAACATTCCATCTCTCCTGGCTCCTCCCAGTCTCCCTCCAAGTCTGCCATTACTGCTGAGTTTCCCTCACCTGGTGCTCCTGGGGATGCTGTCCCAGCTCCTAAGGTCAGGGGCCTGGCCAGAAATCTGGGAGAGGAAGAATGATGGGTTCCCCCTGTTAGACTGTAAGCTCTTTGGGGACAGGGAACAACTGTTTCCCTTTAGCTTCGTGTCCCCAGCACTTAGTATAATTGCCTGGGCACATAATAAGCACTGCACTGCTTTTTGAATGACTGATTAATTGGGGGAAAGGGAGATTAGTGGGTAAAGAGGATGGAGATCTTCCCAGGAGAAGGGTGAGAAAGAAAGAAAAGAAATATTACAGAAAGGGTTCTGGGAAAGGTAGAAGTCTAGGGGTAGAGAAGGGAGTCATTGAAGGAGAAAGTGTCCTCACATTGTCAGTTTGAGATCCAAGCTTCTTTGAACACAGTGGTCTGAACTTCATGTGCTGGCCTGGTGAAGGGGTGGAGGTTATGAGGAAGTGAGTAGACCCAGGGCTCTCAGGAAGTTGGGATGAAATGGGTGATGGGGTTGGGCATAGGATTCTGGCTGCCCATTTGTGGGATCTTAGGTTTCTGGCTGGGGGCGGAGTTTATGGCAGGACAGGGTTAAGGGTGTCAGAGCTGTGGTTTCTAGGTTTCAGATGGAAGGGACAAGAATTTGGGGGATAAATAAAAATAATTTGGGGGATTAGAACTGGGAGTCTGAATTTGAGCATCTCAAAGTTTAACTGGTCTGGGTTAGGGAGGTTGGGCTTCAGGGGTTCTCTATACTCACAACCAGAGTCCAGGCTGGAGATACCTAATGAGCCAGCTCGGTGAGTGGAATGGATCCTCCGAGGAACGGCAGGAGGCTGCTGTGGAAAGGAGGACAAGGTGGGGGGACAGGAGCCAATCAAGGGGCCCCAGGGTGGCCACTGAGGTGGAGGTCATGGCCATGGGACCACAGAGGCAGGCAGTCCTCACCTTCATGGATGTTTGTCCTTTATGGATCTATCCAGGAAAGAAGACAACTAAAGGAGGGGAAGATGAAGATCTGGAACAGGGGACAGATAGGACACAAATGCTCTCACCGTGAAAGAACAATGAATTGGAAATAAGGTCATAAAAAGAGAGAGCGAGGTGGGAGGGCTTGGGCTTGGACCTGGAAGGGCCCTTAGAGAGTATCTAAACCACTCTTTCTTACAAAAAGGAAACTAGGGGCAGCTAGGTGGCACAGTGGATAGAGTGCCGGCCCTGAAGTCAGGAGGACCTGAGTTCAAATCCAGCCTCAAACCAAACACTTGACACGTACTAGCTGTGTGACCTTGGGCAAGTCACTTAACCTCGATTGCCTCACAAAAAAAAAGGGGAAACTGAATCCCTGAGAGGACTTGCTCAAGGTCAAACAGCTAAGGAATGGCAAAGCTGAGGCGTGAACCCACTGTTCCTGATTCGCCAATACAGTATTCACTATGCCCCACTGGACCTGAGTTCAAGTGCTCTATTTCACATTTGTTATCTATATGAACATGGGCAAGTCACCTCCCCTTTTCTGATCTTTCCACTTGAAAAATGGGGATAATCTGTCACGACTGTGGAGAGAGTTAACCAGCCATGACTTTGAGAAAATTAAAGACAAAATAAATGAATCTGATGATATAAAAATAAGAAACTTTTGCCAAATGAAAAGCAGTGAATACAAAATAAGGAAAGAGATGACTTAGACAAATTTTTTCATTGTTGTTAAACATTTCTGACAAAAATCTGATATAAATGTGTCAGTTTCTTCTAGATCTTGGATAAGAGTAAATGCCATTCTCCCACAGATAAGTGATCAAAAAATATGAAAAGGAAGTTCCTGAAATAAGAAACACAAATTATCAACAATCATGTGAAAAAATATTCACAGTCTCTAATACTTTAAAAAGTACAAATTGAAACAATTCTTTGATTCCACCTGACCTCCATACAATTGGCAAAGATAATAAAAGATGATATGACTTGATAATGGTGGGGATATAGTTAAAGAGGTATTACTGTGTGTTACTAGTATAGCCCTAAATCAATTCAAACTTTTTTGGAAAGCAATATGGAATAATACAGTGAGTTATAAAAATATGAATAGCTTTTGACTCTGGTCAGCAAAGAGCTTATGGGAGAGGTGGAGCTAAGATGGCAGAGCAAAGATAGGGACTTGCCTGAGCTCTCTCAAATTCCCCTCCAAACAGTGTTAAAATAATGCCTCAAAATGAATTCTAGAGCAAAAGAACCCACAAAATGATAGGATGGAACAATTTCCCAGCACAAGACAACTTAGAAGGTCAGCGGGAAAGGTCTGTTTCACTGGGGTGAGGGTGGAGTACAGTTCACACCAGCCTAGGCTGCACCCCAGCAAGCCAGCGGCAGGCCTTATGGGCAACTGAATCAGAGCTCTCAGTCCACAGAAAGTAAGAGAGTCAGACAACTGGTCAGAAGGAGATCACAGGGGATCCTCTGCTAGCATTGGGAACAAGGCGCCGTTGTACTCCAGGTCACAGTCCCAGCAGCACCAGCAGGAGTGAGGACCCGGTCACAGTTTCAGGATGGAAAAGAGTGCTTATGATTGCTCACCAACCGGAGCACAAGCCAGGAAAGCAGTGACCACCCATCTCCTTAGTTCATACCTTCTTGGAAGAATTGAAAACTTAGGGGCAGCTAGGCAGCACAGTGGATAGAGCACCAGCCCTGGAGTCAGAAGGACCTGAGTTCAAATCTGGTCTCAGACACATAACACTCGCTAGCTGTGTGACTCAGGGCAAGTCACTTAACCCCAACTGCCTCACCAAAAAACAAACAAACAACAAGAATTGAAAACTCGGGGGGGGGGGGGGCAGCTAGGTGGCGACACTTACTAGCTGTGTGACCCTGGGCAAGTCACTTAACCCCAATTGCCTAAAAAAAAAAAAAAAAGAAAAGAAAAGAAGAATTGAAAACTTATAGACGCCCAGAACTAGCTCAGAAAACATCAGCACGAAAAACCTGAAGCTTGAAATAGTGTCCCTTCCACTCCTGGAGCAGAGCCCAACTTAAACATCAAGTTAAAAGTCAAGAAATAGGCTGAAAAAATGAGTAAACAACAACCAAAAAAGTACCTGACCATAGAAAGTTACTGGGGTGACAGGGAAGATCAAGACACAAAATCAGAAGAAAACAACAGAGACTTCCGGAGTCAAGATGTTGGAGTAAGAAATAAGTAGCTCTTACCCTCCCTTACCAACCTCTGAAAGCCCAGAAAATATTGCCCCAGAAAAACCCTAGAGCAGGGCAGCTAGGTGGCGCAGTGGATAGAGTACCAGCCCTGGATTCAGAAAGACCTGAGTTCAAATCCGGCCTCAGACACATAACACTTACTAGCTGTGTGACCCTGGCCAAGTCACTTAACCCCCATTGCCCAACCAAAAACAACAAACAAACAAAAAAACAAACAAACAAACAGAAAAACCCTAGAACAGTTGAACCAGTAGAAAGATGGGGTGCAGCAGTCCAGTAACCCAGGTAGCTTGAGGGATTAACTGGAAAGACCCCTCTTACCCTGGGGAAAGGGGAGCAGTACAGAATGGGAGGCATCCCAGCAAGCTAGCAGAAAGCCCCACCTCAGCATACCAGCAGGAGATCCTGAAGCCCAGGTGATGGAGCAGGCAAACACCAACACCTGGACCCCTGAGTGCCTCATTGAGGACAGGGGAACCGATGGAAACCAGCTCAGAAAACCACCAGGTGCCTCGGCATTCTACAGCAACTAGCACTCCCAGTGCCTCAGTAAAACCAAGGGAAGCAGTGCTCCAAGGGGCCCCAGGTAGATAAACACCCTACAACATCCATCTGAAAGGAGCTGAAGAAAGCAAAAGGAAGTTAAGGCCCAGGTGAGCAGGAAATCTCCAGGAACCACACAACCCAATCCTACCCCTAGAGTTCCAGTGTTGCTGATTTCAGCCCAACACCAGGTAAGCTGCCAGAATCCTACAGCCTCCAACTGTCAGCATTGGAGGCCCCAGCACACAAAGCCAGTGACCAGGTCCTAGGCTCCCAACGCAAGAAGCTTAGGTCAGTGCCCTTTGCTCCCAGCAGGAGAGCTCAATCTCTTTAAACGCCAGGAAATAAGCAAATCTTATTATATGAAGAGTGAAGATCAAGGCAGAAATTCTGAAGAGGACAACATTGTCAACCAACCCACATCTGGAACCTCAAAAGGGAACATGAACTAGTCTGAAGCCCAAAAAGGCTTCTTAGAAGAGCTCTAGAAGGATTTTAAAAGTCAAATGAGAGAGGTAGAAGAAAAAATGGGAAAAGAAATGAGAGGTATGCAAGAGAGAGTCAATAGCTTGGAAAGAAAAGGACAAAAATTAACTGTAGAAAACAAGTCCTTAAAAAATACAATTAGCCAAATAGGGAAGGAGGTACAAAATCTAATAGAAGAAAACAATTTGTTAAAAATTAGAATTGGGCAGATGGAAGCTAATGACTCTATGAGAGTCAGAAACAAAAGAATGAAAAAAAATAGATGAAAATGTAAAATATCTCATTGGTAAAACAACTGACCTGGAAAATCAATCCAGGAGAGACAATTTAAAAATTATTGGTCTACCTGAAAATCATGATGAAAAAAGGAGCCTGGACAGTATCTTTCAGGAAATCATAAAGGAAAACTGTCCTGAGGTCCTAGAACCAGAGGGTAAAATAGCCATAGAAAGAATCCGCCAATCACCTCCTGAAAGAGATCCCAAATTGAAAACACCAAGGAATACAGTAGCCAAATTCCAAAGTTACCAGGTCAAAGAGAAAATACTGCAAGCAGTCAGAAAGAAACAATTTAAATATCATGGAACCACAGTCAGGATTACACAGGACCTTGCAGCTTCTACATTAAAAGACTGTAGGGCATAGAACATGATATTCCATAATGCAAAGGAGCTTGGATTACAACCAAGGATCAACTACCCAGTGAAAATGAGCATGATCTTTCAGGGGAGAAGATGGATATCCAATGAAATAGGGGACTTCCAAACCTTCCTGATAAAAAGACTAGAGCTCAATAGAAAATTTGATCTTCAAATACAAGACTCAAGAAAGACATAAAAAGGTAAATGGGACAGAAAGAAACAACATATTATTAATAAGGGCAAACTGTTTACATCCCTACAAGGGAAGAAGACACTTGTAACCCTTGAGAACTGTATTGTTATTATACCATGTTAAAGGAATATACATAATGGGGGTGGGTATAAGTTGACTTTGATGTAATGACAAAAAAAAAAATCTAATCAAGTAGGTTAAATGGATCCAAATAAGTGGATTAATCTGATCTAAATAAGAAAATGTACTGAGAGAAAAGGAAAGGAAGAGGCAGACAAGGGTAAATTACATTACAGGAAAAGGCACAAAAACCTATTACAGAAGAGGGAAAGAAGGGAGGGAGATGAGCATTGTTTGAACCTTACTCTCATCAGATTTGGCTCAACAAGGGAATAACATAATCAGTTAGGTACTAATATTGATAGACTTAACCCTTCTCAGTAATACAAGGATCTAAGACATCTCCAAAGGCCTCATGATGGAAAATGCTATCTACATCCAAAAAAAAGAACTATGGGGTTTGAATGCAGATCAAAGCATACTATTTGCTAATTTATTTTCTCCTGTTGTGTTTTGTTTCCTCCTTCTAGTGGTTCCTCCCATTAGTTCTAATTCTTACTTACAACATCACGAATGTGAAAATATGTTTAATAGGAATGTATATGTATAGCCTATATCAGATTGTGTGCTGTCTTGGGGAGGGAGGTAGGGAGAGAGGGGGAGAAAAATTTAAAACTCAAAAGCTTATGGAAGTGATTGTTGATAAATCAAAATAAATTAATTTAAAGAAAGAAAAAAGAAGACAACAATATCAAAATGGTCAAAAGCCTCAAAGAAAAATGTGAATTGGTCTTACAGTCAAAAATAATTCCTGGAAGAGCTCAAAAAAGGATTTTAAAAATCAACTAAGAGAAGTAAAGTAAAAATTGGGAAAAGAAATGAGAGTGATGCAAGAAAATCATGGAGAAAAGAGTCAACAACTTGACAAAGGAGGCACCAAAAAATAATGAAGATAATAACACCTTGAAAAACAGAATAGGGCAAATGGCAAATGAGGCACAAAAATCCACTGAAGAGAAGAACTTCTTAAAAAGCAAAATTGGCCAAACAGAAAAAAGGTACAAAAATTTACTGAAGAGGAGAACCCTTTAAAAAGTAGAATTGGGCAAGTGGAAAAGTAGGTACAAAAACTCACTGAAGAAAATAATTCCTTAAAAATTAGAATTGGGCAAGTGAAAGCTAATTTTTCCATGAGACATCAAGAAATAATAAAACAAAAATCAAAAGAATTTTCTAAAAATAGAAGAAAATGTGAAATGTCTCATTGGAAAAAACAACTGACCTGGAAAATAGATCAAGGAGAGATAATTTAAGAATTATTTGACTATCTTAAAGCCATGATAAAAAAAAAGAGCCTAGATATCATATTTCAAGAAATTATCAAAGAGAACAACCCTGATACCCTACAACTGGAGGGTAAAATAGAAATCGAAATAATCGACCAATCACCTCCTGAAAGAGATCCTAAAATAAAAACTCCCAGAAATATTATAGCCAAATCCCAGAGCTCCCAAGTCAAAGAAAATATTGCAAGCAGCCAGAAACAACTCAAATACTGTGGAGCCACAGTCATAATGACATAAGATTTAGCAGCTTCTACATGAAAGGATCAGAAGGCTTAAAATATGATATTCCAGAGGGCAAAGGAGCTAAGATTACAACCAAGAACCACTTACCCAGCAAAACTGAGTATAATCCTTTGGGGGAGGGGGAATGGATATTCAATGAAATAGGGGACTTTCAAGCATTCCTGATGAAAATACCAGACCCGAATAGGAAATGTGACTTTCAAATGTAAGACTCAAGGTAAACAGGAAAGAGAAATCATAAGAGATTCAATAAGGTTAAACTTCCTACATGGAAGATGATACTTTTAACTCCTAAAAACTTTATCATCATTAGAGCATTTAAAAGGAGGGCAAGGGTATAAATTGACTGTGATGGGATGATATCCAAAAAATAAAATTAAGGGGTGAGAAAAAGGGATGCACTGGAAGAAGGGGTAAGGGAGAGTTGCAGTGGGGTAAGTTTTCTCACATAAAAGAGGCACGAAAGAACTTTTACAGTGGAGGGTAAGATCAGGAGAAGGGAGCAGTAAGCAAGCCTGGAACCTTATTCCCAATGAAATTGGCTCAAAGAAGAGGGAATGACATACATACTCAGCTGGGTTTAGAAATCTGTCTTTCCCCTACAAAGAAGTGGTGGGGGGATAAGAGAAGGGGGTAGGATTAATAGAAGAGAGGGCAGATTGTGGAAGGCAGTAGTCAGAAGCAAAACACTTTTGAGCAGGGAAAGGGTGAAAGGAGAGAGAGAGAGAGAAGGATAAATGAAGGGGAAAAGTAGGGATGAAGGAAAAATATATAGTTGATAATCATAACTGTGCATGTGAATGGGATGAACTCACCCATTAAACAGAAGCAGATAGCAGAGTGGATTACATGATTTGAACATAAAGGGTGATACCATAAGCAAACTGAGGAGCATGGAATAGTTTACCTGTCAGATCTATGGATAAAGGAAGAATTTATAACCAAACAAGAGATAGAGCACTATGGGATGTAAAATGGATAATTCTCATTACATTAAATTAAAAACGTCTTGCACAAATAACACCAAAGAAGCCAAGATTAGAAGGAAAGCAGAAAACTGCCAGGGGGGTGGTGGGGGTTGGTGAGAGTGACTTATAGCAAACTTCTCTGATAAAAGCCTCATTTCACAAATATATAGAAAACTGAGTCAAATATATAAGAATACAGGTCATTCTCCAATTGATAATGGTCAAAGGATATGAACAAGCAGTTTTCAGCTGAAGAAATGAAAGCTATCTACAGTCATATGAAAAAATGTTCTAAATCACTATTGATTAGAGAAATGCAAATAAAAACAACTTTGAGGTACTACCTTACACTTATCAGATTAGCCAATATGACAGAAAAGGAAGATGACAAATGTTGAATGGGATGTAGGAAGCCTGGAACACTAATGCACTGTTGTTGGTGTGTAAACTGATCCAACCATTCTGGACAGCAATTTGGAACTAAACCCAAAGAGCTATAAAAGTGTGCATACCCTTTGGCCCAGCAATACCACTAATAGGTCTTTATCCCAAAGAAATTAAAAAAAAAAAGGAAAAGGACCTATATGTACAAAAATATTTATAGCAGCTCTTCATGTGGTGGCCAAGAATTTGAAATTGAGGGGATGCCCATAAATTGTGGAATGTGAACATGTTGTGATATATGACTGTGATGAAATATTATTGTATTATAAGAAACGATAATCAGGATGCTTTTAGAAAACCCTAGAAAGATTTGCACGGACTGATGCAAATTGAAGTAAGCAGAACCAAGAGAACATTGTACATAGTAACAGCAACATCTTAATGATGATGAATTGTGAGAGTTACCTATTCTCACTAATACAATGATCTGAGATAATTCCAAAGGACTTAGGATGAAAAGCGCTATCCACCTCCAGAGAAAGAACTGATGGATCCTAAATGCACATTGAAGCATACTTCTTTTTAAACTTCATTTTTCTTGGGATTTTTTTTGGTCTGTCTTTTCTTTTACAATGTGACTAATATGGAAACATGTTTGCATGACTGCACACATATAACCTGTATTAAATTACTTGCCTTCTCAATGAGAGGGCAGGGAGGGAGAAAATTTGGAACTCAACATTTTAAAAAAGCACATATGTGAAAAATTGTTTTTACATGTAATTGGAAAAAAAGAAAATATTAAAAACAACAACAAAAAGAGCTGGGAGTGCGGGGAACCCAAATACACAAATACGCCTAGCAGCAGTCCATAAATATGCCCATTTCCAGCCCCAAATCTCCACCTATCTGTAGGGTGCTCTGCTGACACCTCACATACAACCAAAACTGAATTCATCATCTTCCCTGCCCCAGCCCTCAAACAGACCAGGACCTCCAAACGCCTTTCCTTCCTTCCTCTAAGTGCACCAACCTCTTCCTAGCCACCAAGGCTCATCTTTGGGTATCTTTGACCTTTCCCTCACTTTCTCCCTCACCCCCACCTCCAATTCCAGTAATCCCAGAATCTCAAAGCTGCAGGGGATTTCAGTGGCCCAAATGGATTCCGTCTTGAATCTGCCTCTCCAACAAGTGGGCATCCATCCACTCACTACATGGAAATGTCTGCTAAGGAGGCTGGGGTGGCTTCTTTATCTTGCAGAATTCAATTACCCTCCAGATTGGGAGAGAATCCAAGGCCAGAGGGAAAGGCTCACCATGGAAAGTTGGGGAAGCTCAGAAAAGCAGGAGTGGGGGGGAGGGAAGGGAGAGAGCCCTGGAGGTTGGCCTGGACCCAGAGACCTTTCTGAAGGATAGAGTGACAATCCCAAATGGACACTGTTGGATGGAATGGAAATCCTTAGGGAAGGAAGGAGGTATGAAGGGAACATTCCCACTGATGTGGAAAGATGATTAGCCAAGCTTGGACTGGAGGGAGAAGAAGTATGGAGCAGCCTGGAACTTTGGATGCTGAGGCTGGGTAGGTAGGGTGAGGTTAGATGAATGCCAAACCAATTCTATATATAAAGTTTTTATATATAGATACAGATATATACACACACATATATGTATGTATATATATATGTTTGTATGTGTATATATATATATACATATATATAAAACATTTATATATAAAGTTTTTTTTGAAAGCATGCTTCAATCTTCATTCAGAGTCCATCAGTTCTTTCTCTGGAGGTGGACAGCATTTTTCATCGTAAGTTTTTTGGAAATGTCTTAGATCATTCTATTGGTGAGAATAACTTTCACAGCTGATCATCATTATAATATTTTTGTTACTGTGTACAATATTCTCTTGGTTCTGCTTACTTTGATTTCATCAGTTCATATAAATCTTTCCAGGGTTTTCTGAAATGCCAAACTAATTCTATTCCCACTTAAGGCAATACTGTGGTCTCTATGGGAGAAGCAGACATTTGAAGTGGGTTGTTACAGTAGCATCTACCTAAATGAAGTAGTCAATACTTCCCACCCACCCTTGCCCATGCCTGGTGTCCTCACCTCAGGTTCTTCCTCCTCACTTTCACCCCCCAAAGGGGTCTTCCCTGGGTTTCTCAGTTTCTCCAACAATTCCAGAGTCAGGCTCCGAGACAATCCTGGCTGGGACACCAACTGGTGCTAGAGGTGGAGGAGAAGGGTCAATGTTGGAACATGAAAAGGGAATTGAGAATGCTGGGACTGAGTTTCTGCATGTAGAAGTCTGTGTGAGGAAAGGGGGAGGAAACAATCCCTCAGTCTTCCTCCACAAAGGTCAAGTGTCAGGGCATCATCTCTCACTGGGTATCAGAGAGGACTTAGGGAAGGGTAATTGAGGGGGAAGAGTTAGGGAGCCTGAAAGAAGCCCATGGTTCCTAGGTGGGGTATTGGGAGACCTGCAAGGCAAGAATTGTAGGCAGGGGGATTACCTAGGAAGGCCACTAGGGAGGATTCTGGCTATGGACTTCCCTGGGTCCTGAAAGGGATCAGTGATGTCATTCTGGTCTCCTCAATCTCATTTGCCCCACATATCTAATCCTTTGCCAAACCTTGCCATGTCCACCTTCATATCTCTCCAATATGTTCCCTTCTCTCTGCTCACACAACCACCACCCTAGTGCAAGTATCGCCTCACACCTGGACTATTGTAACAGCCTGCTAACCCATCTCTCTGCCCCAACTCTCTCCCCACTCCAACCTCCTCCATTCAGGTGACAAGGTGAGTTTTTCTAAAGTACAAGTCTATGTCATGCTCCCACTCAGCAAATTCCAGGCTCACCATTACTTCCAGAGGAAAACATCAAGTCCTCATAACCTGACCCCTGCCTACATTTCCAGTCTTCCCACACTTGACTCTGATTTTCTGAAGGTCCTTGGGAAGAAACAAGCAACTTAGGATTTCTTTTATTTCTTGTCTCCATCTTCCAAAGTAATTTTGCCTGAAGATTCTCTAAGTATAGCCATCATCTCCCTTTCACAGTCTCCCTTGCTGCTTAGTAAATATGTATCAGTATGTAAAAATCAAGACTTCTCTGGCTTATAATTTGACAAACAATGCCCTTGAATGCTGGCTGATTCTGGAAGCACTTTCTGAATAATTAATATAATAATATGGATATAAATAACTACTAAATATAACAACACATATAATTGCTATGATCTCTCTCCTTCTACAGGATTCTAGCACTGGGAGGGCCATCAAAGGCACGCCTCCTACAATATCTCCAACAGATGGTCATCCAGCCTAGCTTGAAGACCTCCAGTAATGATGAGCCATCCCACCTTTGGACAACTCTGTTATGTAGCCAAAATTCCATGTGTTGCCCTGTCCTTGGTCACCAACAATCTCTTCATTGCTAAATTCCAGTGACCTTTTTCAATCGTCATTTCTCCTGACCTCTGCAATATTTGGGCACTCATGGGTCCTCCCTTGACTTCCATGATAACGTTCTATCTTGGTTCTTATCATGCCTCTCTGACCACTCATCCTCAGTCTCCTCTTTTGGAGCATGAGCCCCTCCTACTCACAAAACAAAGATGTCACCCAAGGCTCTGTTCCAGGTCCTCTTCTCTGCTCCCTATACTATTCCTTTCAGTGGTCTCATCTCCTCACATGGGTTCAATCATCCCCTTTAAACAGATGGATGGTCACTTAAACCCACTGCCTCACCAAAAAAGAAAAAAAAAACAGATGGATGCCAGATCTAGACAGTTAGCCCTAATTTGACTCCTAAACTCCAGCCCTGCATATGTATTACATCTCTCCTGTAGGATAGCAGCTGCTGGTGGGCAGGGACAAACTGTTAATCTCAGCTATGCTAAACTAAATTGAATTGAAACCCACAATATCTATCCACTGCTTCTGGTTTTGCCTAGTTGTTCTGAGGCAGGGATTCAGGGGAGTGGGCTGTGGATACATATGAGCACACATCTCACATTGAGCATCTTGGCAGCACTGGGCCGTTTCTTAGGGTTCTTGGTGAGGGTGACTTTGATGAAGTTATGGAAAGCAGCTGACCTGTAGGGGCAAAGGACAGGGGCTGTGTCTGTCAAGGATGTCCTAGGGAGCAGAGAAACACACTAGTTCCCAGGTTCCCAGGTTCCAGCTTGACGTTCCCCCTACCCACCACAAACCACCAATGCCCTCCCCAGGCCCGGGGTCTCCCCCTCACCATCGTCCCTTCTCCTTCAGTCTAGGGGGCTGGTATCCACTTTTGGTCATGAGGAAAAGCACTCTAGGAAAGATGAAAGTATAAGAGGGGGTTCAGGACCCCACTACTGGATATCTCCTTCCTCCTTAACTTCCTCTCGTAAAGCCACTGGGAAGGGGGGCAGTCCAGGGGGTCAGAATAAAGAGGGGGTTCCTAGAGGGTTGGGAAAGGGGTATTCTGAGTTCAAATGGGGGTCCCTGGAGCTGAAGATGGGGGGCCTCAGGTGCCAAGCACGGCCTCTGAGAGACTTAGCATAAGGGCTCCCAGAAAAAGCATGAAGGCTCCCAAGGGCTGAGACCAACAGTGGGTGTGTCTCAAGGTCTGAGCACAGGAGGGCTCCCGGGTGCTGGGCCAGGGGTCAGGAGGTAGCTCATGGGCATGGGCCATACCTCAGAGGGTGCACATCAAACATCGGAGGCTGTAGCTCGGCCATTTCGATCGCTGTGATCCCCACAGACCAGATATCACAAAGCTCTGTATACCCTCCTTTGAACTCCACAGCGGCCACTTCAGGGGCCATCCTGGGGGGTAAAGACACAGAGATCATCTGAGACAGAGAGAAAACTCAGAGGTACGGAGATAGATTCAGAGACACCAGCAGCCTTTTAAAGATAAGACAACACAAAGTAGAGAGACAGAGACAAGCAGAATTAGGTGGGACAGACCTGGAACACAAGAGACCTGGGGAGACTCCCGGAGCCATCAGCCCTCACTATCCCCCTTCCCTGATCTCGCCCCAAATTCCTCACCAGTAAGGCGTCCCAATGAAGGAGAGACGTCGAGCCAGGGTGGCCCCTATTTGGGCTGCGATACCAAAGTCAGCTGGAGAGAAGGGAATAACATAGTAGCTGTGGGTCCTCTGCCTCTCCAGATCCCTCCTCGGTGCACCCCACTGGGCTCTCCCAGCCCCACTCACCAAGCTTAACCTCTCCATTGTCATTGATGAGAATATTTGCTCCCTGGATTGGGGGTGGGGGAGGAGAAAAAAAATCAGGCCTCAATCAAGCAATAAACATTTATTAAATGCCTGCTTTGTGCTAGGCACTATGCTAAGCACTAACTCAAGGAAGCCTCCCTTCCTCCCTCCTCACAAACTTCCTGAAGCCCCCTCCCTGACCCCCAAAGCACCTTGATGTCTCTGTGAATCTTGCCCTGGTTGTGTAGGTAGGCCAGACCCTAGGGAGAACAAGGGGAACAGGAAAGAGAAAAGGGCTGGGTTCACCCAGAATCCCTTCCCCTGCAGCTCCTTGTGGGAGTCAGGGAAGTTTTACTGAGGTTGGGGGTATTATGAGATTTGGGGTTAGAGGGAAAAGGAGTTGGATCAGGGGACCAGGAGGCTGCAACTTGGTGGAGTGGGAGCATTCTTTAAGCTTCTACCATGTGCTAGGAACCAAGGATACAAAGATAGAGTTAAACAATCCCTGTTTGATGCAGTTTACATTGTTCTTGAGGGAAAGAACAGATAGACAGGTGAGTAAACATCAAATGTATGGAATAAGGGATAGGGACAGGGGCCAAACCTGGTGTAGGGACCTCCCTGGAGAGGAAACTCCCTCTACCAATGCAGGTTGACACCTTCTCTGACACTCAGTCTTAAGAAAGTTTGCCTGGACTAATATGGAAGAGGTTTTGCATGACTTCACATGTATAACTGATAGCACATTGCTTGCCTTCTCAATGGGGAGGGGAGGGACCAGAGGGAGGGAAAGAATCTGGAACCCAGAATTTTTTTAAATGAATGTTAAAAATAAATTTAATTTTTTAAAATGAATGTTAAAAATAAATTTTTTTTAAAATTTCCTGGAGTACTGAGAGGTTAAGGCTCTTGCCAATAAATGCCAGAGGCAGAACTTCAACCCCCAGTACAACAAACTATATACAAAATAAAAACAAAGAGTGGGAGAGGGGAAGGGGAGAGAAGAGGGGGGAGAGGGGGGAGAGGGGATCAGGAAAGTGGCATCCTCACCTGGAGTACCTCTCTGCAGATGTAGCCAATCTGAAGCTCAGAGAGAGGGCCAGTCACTGCAACAGACCCCCCCCACCCCCACCCCAGGGATCAGGGGGCTGAGTCACTACTCAGAGGAGGGCAGAAGGAATGAGGAGAAAGGGATGGGTAAAGGGGGGAGCGGCGGGCAGAGTTAATCAGTCAATCAGTAAACACGTATTAATCGCCTACTACATGCCAGGTGTTGTGTGAAGCACTGGGGATACAAAAAAGAAGCAAAAGGCAGTCCCTGCCCTCAAAGAGTTTACAATCTGGAATGAATGGCACTGGAATAGCCCTGGAATGAAGGGGAGTGGGGGTGGGGAAGGCTTTCTGTAGAAGGTGGGATTTTAGTTAGGACTTAAAGGAAGCTGGGGAGGTCAGTGGTAGGCTGCTTCTCCACTTGGGGAGGGTACCCCCCCGCCTCCTTACTGTGGTATATGTCTTGGAGTGAGCCAGCGCCACAGAATTCCATGCAGATCCATAGCTTCTGAAGCCTGGGGTGGGGGAACAGGGAAGAGGGCAGGGATGGGGTGGGGGAGAGGAAGGAATAGAATCAGCCAGAGTAAGTTCAGGCTCAGGGAGGCTAGGAGTCTAGGGGCCTTATTCAGAGAAATGCCTTGGCCATCCATAGTATTGGGTCTCTTCAGCTTTAGGAGACACTACCAGGAAATGGATATAGGTAACATCAGGCCATTTGGGAGCCTGATTGGGGTGGGGGAGAAGGAGAATCAGGAAAGTTGGTCTGAGGGGTAATAGGGCCACTTTCAGGAGCCAAGGATCTGGTGTGAGGGGTTAGAGATTCTGTCTGGGGATCCAGAGGGATGGTGTAGAAGTTGAGAAACCAATCTGAGGATAAAGAACTAGTCTTGGGTTTGAAGAATTGGTCCGAAGGTCAGGAAATGGGGGGGGGCAGTGAATAATCAGTCTAGGGGTAAGAAAGTCAATCTAGGGGGCGGGCAGCCAGTCTGAGGGGTCAGGAAGCTGTCGGGTTGGCCCTGACCAGAGGTAGCTGCCATGGTAGGCCACAATGTTGGAGTGCCGACAGGTCCGCACAATGAGGATTTCCCGATGGAGGATGGTTAGGTCATCATCTGAAGGGAGAGAAAGGGTCAGTGTGTGTGTGTGGAGACCAGGCATCCCAGGGTTAAGGATTGAGAGGGGTGTCAAAGCTCAACCTTACCTGGTTCTATCTTCACCATTTTCAGAGCTGCGAGTTCCCCTGTCACCTTGTCTCGAGCCTGGGAAAGGAAGGGGGCAATGGGGAGAAGGGGGGAGCAGGAGATTATAAACTTGGAACAAATGAGCAAATGAGCACAATGGTGTACAAATGCCTCCTCTTCCTGGTAACTCACTCGGGCTTCCCCTAGAAGCCCCGACACCCAAGAGAAGGTCCTGGGATAAAAGAATGAAGTGAGACGAAGGAGAAGAGAGTTGACCTCAGTGACCATCTACCCCAAGCCCTTCTGGAAGCACGAATCCCCCCACTTCCCCATCCCCATCCTCAGTCACTGGTCATCCAGCCTCGGAAAGAGAAACAAGTTAGTGAAAGGGAACTCCCTACCCCAACCCACAGCTCATTTCCATTTTTTTTTTTTAATGCTAATAGTTAGGGTAGCTGTTCCTTAAATTGAAGGATAATCCATCTGTTTCTCTCTCACTTCCACCTTCAAACCTAGTTTTTTCTCCTGAGCTAAGCAGAGTAAAATCTAATTTCCTTCCACCCAGCAGCCATTGGTAATTTTAAAATAAGTCCATAAATAATAAGTAAGTTGGGAGGAAGCCTCTGGGGTGATGCTTCCTTCCCTCCACCTCCACCACGCAAAGGACGATTTCAGAGGCCTCCATCACCTTCCCCAGCCTCGTCCCTGTTGCTTCACCTCATTAGAAGCAAAGTTCAGAATTCTGCCCCAAATCCTCCGAGACAGGTGGATTGAAGGTTCTGGGGGGGGGGGGGGGGGGGGGGGGGGGGGGGGGGGGGGTAGAAGGATGGGGGATGGAGGCTGAGAGGAAGAAGATGAAGGACTTGGGGTGGGGTGGAGACTTTGATTAGGGGGATGAAGGCCATGGAGGGAAGGAGATGAAAGTTCCTGAGGATGGAGGCTAGGAGGAAGAGAAAAATGAAGGTCTTTGGAGGGAAAGGGGAGACTGTGGACAAGGGGAATGGAGTGGGGGGCGGGGGGGGGGTGAGGGGAGGAGAAAGTTCCTGGGGATGGAGGCTGGGAGGAAAAAAAGGATGAAGGACTTGGGGGAAAGGAGGTGGCCCCAGAGAAGGGGAATGGAGGCCTTGGGGAGGGGGTATGAGAGCCCTAGAGGAGAGGAGGCAAAGGACATGGGCCCAGAGGAGAGAAGGGACCCTCACCTTGAATACCTCCCCGTAGGTGCCGCCCCCCACCCTCTGCAGCAGCTCATAGTGGTCCAGAGGGTCCTTGGTGGCGATGTCCGGGTCTGCGCTGTCCATGCTGGGGATAGGGTGGGGGGAGGCCCGTGGGGAGGGGGAGGGCTGCCTCCTCCTGGAAGCCCTCTGTGAACCAGGGTGCTTGACTCAGAGCCTGTAGCAGCAGCAGCAGCAGCAGCAGCAGCAGCAGCAGTCGTGGGAGGAGGGCAGGCGGTATGTTCTCCCCTGCCCGCCAGCCGCGAGGGCCCCCACTCTCGCTTCCTGCCCAGGCCTCACTAGGGGGGCCCCTCCCTCTTCACTCTTCCCCCCCCCAGCCTAGCTCTCCAGCCGAGGGAGAGCCAGGCCCAAGCTGACTTTGTGGCCCCAGGGGACCACAGTGCAACTCTGGGGTAAAAGGAGGGGGTTCCTTTTTGCCTTTAGACCGGACTCTCTAATGTAAATGAGATGCAAACAAAGCCTTATTGGTTTATCGATCCGGTGGGGGACTTCCCCCTTTCTCCACGCAGGACAGCGAACGTGATGGATCCCCAGCAGGGAGACTAAAGACAGGTTGGGATGGAGGAATACAGGGTGGGGAAAGGCACAAAAATGATGGAGAAGAAAACACAGAGACCATGGTCAAGTCAAGTGAACCAGCCTAAATTGAGAGCCTTCTCTATGGAGATCTAAAGCATCTGGGCTGGAGAGTGGAAGAGCTGAGATGAAGGCGAGGCACAGCCAGTCTGGAGAGGACCTTGGAGAGCCCCCAGCTCAATTTCTCCCACCTGGTTTTAGCAGGCGGGGCTAGAGTGGGAGTGAGCCCGGGTGGCTCACTGCCCACCGCTCTTGGTTAGGTGCCACTGCTTAGCACAAGGCCTGGCACTTACTGGGTGTTTAAAAATGCTATTGACCCACTGACCCGTGTCTTGTCAAGTCACCGGGCAGAGATGGAGAGACGTGGAGTCTCGTGGGAGAGAGACGATCAATCAAGCATTTATTAGGCACCTACTATGTGCCAGGTGCTCCCCGGGGGCCTGGAAGGGAAACCAGAGTGGGGAGAAAGAGGAGGGAGTCGCCGCATTTGCACCCCGTTCTGATTATTCCGGGGTTTATTTAGCACGTTCACAGAGACCCGGGTGAAGGGGAATCGAGTCACTCATTTATTGACCGCCACCCTTCCCCCGCCTTCCGTCTCCCTGGGGAGAGAATGGTCTACACTAGGAGACAATCCACGGGAGGAGGGGCCTTCTTGAAGGAGGGGGCCAGGTGTACGAGGAGACACCAAGAGGGGGACAGGTAAGGGATCCTGCTGGATGCGGAGTCGTAAAAGTCCCACGTGTGCACAAAGTCCACGTGCACCCAGACCCTCCGGGAGTGTCCCGGGGTCTCCGGCGCTGCTGCCTCCTGACACGTGACGGAGCCGGCGAGGAGGGGCAACAATGCAGCAGCTTTGGTCCCGCCCACTCAGAGGGGTGGAAGAGTGAGCGACACTAGGGGGAGGGGGAGAGAGGCGAGAGCGACCCTGGTACGCCTGCGCACTGGCTCCCGAGGGATTTTTTTTTTCCCCCCCCCATTTCCTTCACCGTGGGTGCTCTCTAGCGCTCCCGCTCTCCCTCGGTGCCAGTGCGCACGCGCCAAAATGGAGAGGTCCCGGAAGAGGAAGCCACGTGCGACCCGGAAGCAGCCCCCTCCGCCGCCGCCTTTACCTCCGCCTCCTTCCCCGCCCGCTTCGGAAGAGGTTGACGACCATGCGGCCGAAGGCGTCCTCGGGGAAGGAGGACTTCCGTCCTCCCCGCCCCTTCCGGTTCCTGTTGCGGCTCCGGACCCGGCCTCGGCGTCGGCGTCTGCTTGCGAAAACGGGGAGGTCATGGCGCTGTTCGAGCAGATGCGCGCCAACGTGGGGAAGCTGCTCAAGGGCATCGACAGGTGCGGGCAGGCAGGACTCTGAGGGCTCCGGGGCCGCAGGGGCTGGGCCTGAGAACAGGCGGGGAGGGAATTCCCGGGCCGTGCGAACGCGGCTGGGTGCGGCGTTCAGGGCCCCGCACAGCAGCTCATCAACAAGCGCTTCCTTAAAAAATAGTGACACAGCCCCTGTCCTCCAGGAGCTCACGGTCTGCCCCGGGAGGCGACGCGCGTAAATCAGTAGGTGCTGGATAGATGCCAGTCATTACAAAGGAGCGGGGATGTAGGGGGAAGAATGCAGGAGCTGAGCTTTGACAGAAACTAGGGATCCTACGAAGTGGGTGCGAGGAGGGAGGGCATTCCAGGGGCGGGGGACAGCTGGACAAAGGCACGGAGGCAGGAAATGGAGCTCGAGGCCAGAACTGTAGAGTGCGGCGGGAGGGGGAGGAACGGTGTAAAGAAGCTGGAAAGGTAAGTCGGGGCCAGGATGGGGGGGTGTTAATCCCCAGCACCCCCAGTCTCCCTGGGCCCCAGTCTCTGTTGTGTTGGAAGGGATTGGATCCAACGCCTTTTAAGCCTGTGGTCTAAGAGACAAAAAGGAGTGACAGATAGGGAGGCAGCTGCGTGGAGGAGGCATGGGGCAGGGAGGACCTGGAGGCTGGGAGTTGACTGGGAGGCTGCTGCTGTCCTCCCTGCCTTCTGATGAGGGAGACAGCGTGCCAACAGCCGTGTGCGGATAAAGTGTACACTGGAGGAGCTGGAGGTGACCGAGGCCCAGGAGGGGGTGTCAGGAAAGGCCTCCTGCAGAGGAGGGAGGGGGGAAAGCACCTACTATGGGCCAGGCACTGTACAAAGCATCTCCTTTGATCCTCACACTGCTTGCTTGCTATTTGTTCTTCTCCAAGAGGACTCTGATGCTATGACATGCAAGTGAATTGGATTTGAGTGAGGGAGGTCTGTGCAAAATTACCAGCCTCACTTTCTCCTCCAGAGCCACCAGTGGCAAGATAGAAATCAGGACCACTGGAGATGGTCCCGCATCCTCACAGCAATTCTAGGAAGTCGATACTATTATTATTCTCGCTTTACGGTTGAGTAAATTGAGGCAGACGAGATGTTAAGTGACTTGCCCAGGGTCACACAGCTAGTGCAGGATTTAAACTCAGGTCTTCCTGACTTCAGGCAGAAGGAGGGATTTTAGTTGAGACCAGAAGGAAACCTGGAGGCAGAGGTGATGGAGAGCCTTCTAGACATGGGGGGCAGCTAATAAAAATGCCTAGAGTTCAGAGATGAGAGGAACAACCAGGAGGCTGAAGTAAGGTGTAAGATGAAAGAGAGGGCTTTAAAAACTAAACAGGATTTTCTCTTTGATCCTGGGGCTAGTCTGAACCACTGGAGTTTGGCATGATGACTTGGTCAGGCCAGTGCTTTAGCAGCCGAGAGGAGGCTGGATGGGAGTAGGAGAGACTTGTAGCAGGCAGCCCCCCAGAAGACACTGTGCTGGGTGCGAGGGGTACAAGTAGAAAGAAAGGAGGCCCCTACTCTTCAGGAACTTCCATTTTGTCTGGGAGGAAGCAACCTGCCAACATAGGCAGAATCAGTGGCAGGTTAAAGGAGGGAGGGCCCCGCAGTGGTGGGAGTCAGACAGAGCTTCATTAGGGGGTGGCTTGAGCCCGCTGGGGGGGTGGGAAGCAGAGGCTGCCGGCAGAAGTTGGAGTCAGGTAGCAGAGGGCTTTCTGAGTCTCCTTCGCTGGACTGCTAATAGGAGGTGGCCCCCAAAGCTGTCCTGGGCCCTCTCTGCCTGTGTTCCTCTGTCTTTCACTTGGTGATCTCCACTGCCATGGGTTCAGTGATCATCTTCATGCTGGGGATTCTCCAGTCTACTCATCCAGCTCACTGGCCTCTTTACTCACCTCTCCCACTGCCTGTGGCACATCTTGACCAGGATGATCCATGTGTTGGTCAGTGGCCTTGGCGGACCCCAGCCCAGCAGTACTGTCCAGGGCATTTTCTTGGTAAAGACACTGGATAGCTTTGCCATTTCCCTCTCTAGTGGATTAAGCGACTTGCCCGGGGTCACACAGCCAGTCAGTGGCTGACGCTGCATTTGAACTCCGGTCTTCCCGACTCTGGGCCCAGTGCTGTGTCCCCTAAGCCTCCCAGCTGCCTGTATGATCCATAGCAATCTTAAACTTAACCTGTCAGCCCGTGTCAACCCAACTGAACTCATTCTCTTTCCCTTGTCCCTAATTTCCTTCTTGCCGTTGAGGATCCCACCAAACCTAGGGGTCATCCTCACCTCCTCACTCCCTCTTCACCACCACCCCCATCCTTTCTGCCTCTGTACCATCTGCAGTCTTGTGCTCACCTCCTTGGTGCAGGCTCTCACACCTGGACCGTGATAGTGGCCTGCTGGTGGGTTTGCCTAACTCAGTCTCTCCCCGTTCCAATTCACCCTCCACTCGCTGTCAAATTGATCTTCCTAAAGCCACAGACCTGACTGTGTTGCCTCCTCCCCTCCCCCATTCAGTAAACTCTATCATTAAATATAAAGTTCTCTGGCCTTTAGGACCCTTCATAAGCTGGCCCTTTCCTGCCCTTGTTCACCTTTTTCCTCTCCATGTATTATAGGATCCAGTGACACTGACCTTCTCACACAGACACTCCCACCTCCGGACTCCGGGCATTTTCTCTGGCTGTGCCCCAAGCCCAGGATGCCCTCCCTCCTCGTCTCAACTCCTGGCTTTCCTGGCTTCCTTCACTTCTCAGCTAAAATCCCACCTAATGGGAAGGCTTTTCCCATCCACCTCAATGCCAGTGCCTTCCCCTTGGAGGAATCTTGTTTGTTGTGCGTGTGTCTTGTTTGCACACTCTTGCTTTCCTGTTATCTCCCCCACTACACTGGGGATTTCTTAAAAGCAGACATCTCTTGCCTTTCCCCTGTACCCCATAGCCAGTGGCTGACACCTAGCAGGCATGTGCTTAATGATGAACGTTTATCCTAGAGAGTCCTAGGGAGCCGGCAGATTTTATTGAGCAGGGGAGGAACCTGACATACCTGCACATTAGTTTCTGTGTGAGGGATGTGGTAGAGTCAGGAAGCAGAGAGATGGAGAATTAGGAAGTTGGTGCAAAAAGCTAGGCTGGGAATGAGAGGAGCCTAAGCTGATGTGGTGGTGATGGGAGGAGAGAAGAGGGAAACCCGGACGGGAGGGGGGGGCCTGAGAAAAGACTTGGCAATGACGATCTCATTGGCCAAATCCTTAAGGGTTGAGCAGTAAAAGCGGTGGATCGCTTTTTCTAACGGTTGAGAATAGAGGGAGAAATAAGATGGTAGTTTGAAAGGGTGGTAGGGTCTAGTGTAGGTTTTTTAAGGATGGGGGAAACCTGGGTCTCTTTGAAAGAAGAAAAAGAACCAATAGTGAAAGGATCAAGGGGGAAGGGATTGGGAGGGGATGGACCCATGGGAGAGTCTCAGCAAAGACCATTAATTATTTTGTACCATATAGCCTACACAATAAATACGGGGTGTTGGGTGTGGGGACGGGAGCACTAGCTGCCGGGGGACCAGGAAAAGCCTCTTGTCCGAGTAGTCTCCGAAGTGAGCTTTTGACGAAGCCAGGGGTGAGGAGAAGGGGCATCTCAGGCCTGGGGTGGTTGGAGAACAAGACAGCCGCATGTACAGGAGATGGCAGGCTGGGTCTGTTTGGCTGGAACGTAGAGTTTATGAGGCGGGATAATATATAATAAGCCTGGAGAGAGGTTGGAGCCAGTTTATGAAGAATTGTGGCTAGTCAGCTAGCATTTATTAAATGTTACCATGTGCTAGAGCTGAGAGGTGCAACAAAGGGCAGAAGACAGCCCCTGCCCAGGCTCAGGGAGCTCACGGTCTGATGGGGAGACAACATGGAAAGGACTCGGGCACCAACCAGACAGACAGGATAAGCTGGGGGTGGTCTCAGAGGAAAGGTGTTCCAGGCCCGGGGGACAGCCCAGAGGTGGAGGGTCTTGTTCGTGGCACAGCCGGGAGGTCTGGGCCCCTGCATCAAAGAGGACAGAGAGGGGTCTGAGGTGTGAGAACGCCAGGGGGCCAGGTTATGAGAGAGTTTGAACCCCAAGTGGCATTTTGTATTTGTTCCTGGCAATAGTGGTAAGGAACTGTTAGAGTTTATTGAAGAGAAGAATATGGCGGTCTTGTGTTTAGGAGCATTAGTTTGACAGCTGGAGGATGGACTGGAAAGTGGAGAGACTTGTAACAGGCAGACCCCTGCCCCAGCAGGCTCCTGAAATGGTCCAGGCATGAGGTGAAGGGGGTGGGGATGAGGTCAGAGGAGAGAAGAGGACATAGCCAAGAGCTTATGAAGGCAGAAATGACTGTAGATTGGCTGTGGGGATGGGAGAGAATGAGGGCAGGATGGTGATGTCCTCAGCAGGAAAAGGAGAGAGCTTGAGGGCAAAGGTGAGAAGTTCTGTCTCAGACGTGTTAATTTAAAGATGTCAATGGACCGTCCAGTTCAGGATGTCCAGATGCCAACCAGGAGGTCATCAGGGAGCTAAGTTAGAGCTGGATAAGTAGATTTGAAGTCATCAGCACGGAGATGATTGAATCCAGGGGGGCCGATGGGATAGATCGCCAAGTGAAGATGTATGTAGAGGGGGAGAAGAGGAAGGCCAGGACAGCCCTTGAGGGGATGCCCACAGTTGTTGTCATGAACCGGAAGAAGATCCAGCAAAGAAGACAGAAGGAGCGGTCAGAGAAATGTTCTAGATAAATGAAATACTTTAAAGGCCAAAAAAAAAAATTTTAAGGGTGTTTTTATTTTATTCCAGAAGCCTTAGGAAACTACTGGAGAGTTTGATCAGGGGCAGTGTTGTGAGAGCTGTGCCTCAGGAATATCGCTCTAACAGAGGATGGGTTGGGGGTTGGACAGTTAGATTGGGTAAGTGAGGTCCATGGGTAGTGCAGTATATAGAGCTCCAGACTTGGAGTGAGGAAGGCCTGAGTTGGAATCCTGCCTCAGTTCTGTCACTTAAGTTCCTGTGTGACTCTGGGCAAATTATTTCTCTGTGACTCAGTTTCTATAAAATGAGGATGATAATAGCCTCTCAGGGTTATTGTGAGGACCCGATGAGGTAACTGTAACTGTAGGGTAAACTTTACAGTGGGTTCTACGTGCTAGCTGTCATGATTATTCTCTAACCCTCTCATTTTATAGATGAGGAAACTGAGGTCCAGAGAGATTGCATTACTCAGGGTCACACAGAGAGAAAGTGAAAGGGATAAAATTTGAACCCAGGTCCTCCGAGATCATACCTACAACACTGGGCTATTTCCCATAGCTCCCAGGGACAGGGCTCGGGGCCCCCAAAGGTCAAGGCTGCCTCCTTGGGGTCAGAGTGTCCTTCCCCTCAATGCCATCTTTCTGCCTCATTGGTACCTAAGGTCTAAGATGTACCATCTTAGACCTCCCAATCCAGAGCAGAAAGCTGTCCACTCTAACCCCTTTATTTGATAAGTGTGTGTTTGACATTGGATCGACTCGAAGGGAGGTGTCCTCATCCATGCTGTGTCTTCCCCCTCCCAGGTACAATCCTGAGAACCTAGCCACCCTGGAGCGCTACGTGGAGACCCAGGCCAAGGAGAATGCCTATGACCTGGAAGCCAACTTAGCCGTGCTCAAGCTGTGAGTAGCCAGGAGGATGGGCTGGGCCTCTCCCAGCTGGTGCCATGTCTGACCATGGGCCACAGGGCCCTGATGCCCAAAGGACAGACACTGAGACAACATGCACACGTGCTCATGTGGCTTTTCATATGGGATTTGTGATTAGAGCCCCAGCAGGTCTCCTGGGTTGTCTAGGCCAGCCCCAGCCCAGGCAAGAATCCTTTCTGCAGCATAGCCAAGAAGGGGTTGGCCAGACAGCCGTGAGCGGCAAATCCCCTCCCCCTCCAGTGTTCCCTGATGGCCAGCCTCCTTTGGCCTCTCTGCACTGTCCTCCCACTGCTGCTGGCTCTGCCCTCTCGCTTGGCAAGGCCAGGATCATTCCCCCACCCCACACACACACAGGATGCCCAGCAGAGAAGGTCCTGGGTTCAGATCCTGCCCCCAACACCGGCCACGGACAAGGCCTTTCATGGACTTGTTTTAGCATCCATTGTCTCCTCTGTCTAACAAGGACAGTCACAGGAACCTGTGCAGGGAATTTTTGTGAGAGTCTTCAATGAGAGAGTGTATGTAAAATGCTTTGTAGACTTTGAATGGCTGTAGAAAGGCCAGGTTTTTCCTTGTCTCAGCTCCCTCAGCCCCGTCTTTCTCAGATCAGCCTTCCCTTCAGCTGATCTCACAGAGCAGGACATAGATGGGCTAGGAAGGGGATGGGGAACTCCTTAATAAAAGGATTTGTTTTGTACTTTTGGACCTAGAGGGCCACATGTGGCCTCGAGGCCCTGGGCATGGACCTAGCCACTAGGTCATCCAGTGCCATTATCCCCTTTCCCAGATAGGCCCAGGGAGGTTCTGGAACCCCTGGGTCCCAGATGAGGAAAGGGGCAGGGCCCAGATTCAGGCCCAAAGCATCGGCACTGTGACCGGTGGCTCTCATGTCCTTCACCTCTGCTGCCTCCAATGATGTCTTGTTGCATTGTCCCCAGGGCCCTCTGCTCTCTGCGTACAGAAGGGTCATTTCAGTCCAGCAGACGTTTAGTAGAGCACTTATTATTTGCAGGGCATCTGAATACAGAGGCCAGATGGAAAGTAGTTCCTGCCTTCAGTGAGCTCATTTCTCTCCTGAGTGTTTCAAGGGGCAGTGGAGGTGGGGCTGAGAGCAGGGGACAGAGCCCTTGGCTGTACCGGGAACACTGGTGCTTCCCCTCCCTCCCCCACCCCCAGTGGATGTTGAATTAGCCGTTATTATTAGAAACATAAGTAGCTTTGAGTTACATTCTACAGGAGGGTGTGGCAGAGCTAATACAGCTGGGGGGCTCTGCTGAGGGTGCAGCCCCCTGAAGAATGCCCCCATTTTCTTGCCTCCCAGTCACCGCCCTTCAGGGCTCTCCCTAACACCCTTCTCTCATTCAGTGGTACTCACATGTGTGGGATGACAGCTGACTTCCCAGCATCCAGCAAGGACCTGCCTTGTGCAGGGCCTTGGGCATGGAGCAGGGAGGCCCAGCCCTGCCTTCATGGAGCTGAATGCCTGCCCAGGATGTTGAGCTCATTACAGATTTCTCTGGGGCATGGAGCTGCCTCTGGGCAGATCTAACAGGCCCTGTCCTCAGGAAGCTTCTCTTCTGTTGCAGAGATAGACCATGTGCCCAGATGAGAATTGTTTCGGAGGTAGGGGAGTCAGCCCCCTGGTGGCACCCACCTCTGACACCTTCCTCTCCCCTCTTTCCTCAGATACCAGTTCAACCCGGCCTTCTTCCAGACCACAGTGACAGCCCAGATTCTGCTGAAGGCCCTCACCAATCTGCCCCACACAGACTTCACCCTCTGCAAGTGCATGATTGACCAAGCTCGTGTATCCTTCCATCCCTGGTGGGGCGTGGGGGCAGGCGCAGGGAGCCCTCCATGGTCAACAGAAGGCTTTGGTGGTGTCTTCCCAGTTGTCCCAGCTCAGGAAGTTGGACTGAGAGCAAGCCCTTCCAGCCCCACCCCTGCCCTCAGCCCCCTTGCCACTTGAGTGGATTCTTCTGTTTGTAATTGCCTCTCATTCTCAGCTCTCATTGGTTCTCCTGTGGGGTCTCTGGTGATTGGTCCATTTTCCTATGGCCAGGCCCACCCCCTTGGAGGCTAGTTGTTGCTTTGGGAGAAGAGGGGCTCCTGAAGTCATTCAGGGCTGTATTTCATATCCCCGCACTCAGTGCCTGAGAGGTGATTTTCCTTAATGCTTCCCCATCTCAGCAAGAGGAGCAGCCCATCAGGCAGATCCTGTACTTGGGAGACTTGCTGGAGACCTGTCATTTCCAAGCTTTCTGGGTGAGCTGCCCCGCCCCAAGCTAGATTCAGGCCCCTCTGCCCCTCCAGCCCCAGTACACAGTCAGCAGCTGTCCCAGCCCATAGGTGGGCAGAAGAGGTCTTTCCTGACTGTGTACAGGTTTGAGGACAGAGCCTGAGGCCGGGCAGAGCAGAGGATGAGGCGAAAGCCCCTCTGCCCTGCACACAGACAGAGCCCCTCACTGTACAGATAGAGCCTCTCCTAGCCCCACCCCCAGAGTCCCTGCTGGTTAATCCCAGGGCTTGGGAAATCTGACTTCTGGCCTCAGTTCTTAATCTGCCACGCTCAGTGACCTTGAGCAGTGCCCTTTCCAGGCCTCACCTTGTTTTTGTAAAGTGGAGTCCACTGCTGAGGTGATCTCTGAGGCCCCTTCCAATTCATTTCATGATCTCCGGAGTGTGGGGAAAGGTTCTCTGTTCAGCAGTATCTATTGCCCGGCATATATATGCCCACTTTCTTCCTAGTTCAGAAAGGGTTGTTTGTCCTTCATTCTCAACTCAGAAAAGGAACAGCAGGATGGTCAGGCAGCAGACAGTTAGTAAATGCCTATTGTGTGCCAGGCACTGTGCTGAGGGCTAGAGATTAAAAAAAAAAAAAAGGGCAGGTGCCTGTCCGAGCTCTCCGGGTTGGGGGGCTGGTGCCGAGAAAGCGCTCCTGCACAGCCAGAATACAGATAGGCCAAATAGGAGGGGATCCACAGAGGGCAGGCAGGACTTGAGCTGCAATCTGAAGGGAGCGAGGAGGCAGAGAGATCCAGGCACAGGAGCCAGAGACAAGCAGCTGTGGTGGGAGATGGAACAATAAGGAGCCCAGTGTCTCTCCAGGCAGGAAACGGCCTGGTCCAAAGGCTTTTCAAAGCCAAACAGGATTTTCTGGTTTAGCCTCGAGGCAATTAGGAGCCTCTGGAGTTGGTTGATTGAATAGCAGAGTGGCCTAAGTGTTAGGAAGATCATTTTGACCGCTGAGCTGAGAATAGGTTAGAGTGGAGAGAAACTGGAGGCAGCAAAACTAACTGGTAGAGCATTGCAATGATCCAGGCGGGAGCCAGGTGGCGACGTGTCAGCGGAAAGAAGGAAGGTTAAACCAGAACTGTCCCAGGCCAAAACCGATTGGACTTTGAGGGGAGGGGGGCTGGGAGACAGTGAGAGAGAGAGTGAGAGTGAGGGATCCAGGATGGCTTCCAGGTTGTGAGCCTGAGAGACTGAGAGGAGGGTGGTGCCTTCTACAGTATTAGGGAAGGAGAGAAAAGAATGAAATCTGTTTTGGACATAGTGAGTTTACTGGAATCCAATTTAACCATGTCCAGCAGTCAGTTGGAGATGTGAGACTGGAGGTCAAGAGAGAGGTTAGGGCTGGACAAATAGACCTGAGAATCATGGTCATTGAAACCACGGGAGCTGATGAGACCACCAAGAGGTTGAAGAGAACAGCACATGGGATTATCAGGAGTGACCTGGATGCAGATTCAGCCAGAGGCTGGAAAAAAAAGGCTACATAGGTAGGAAGAGAACCGGGAAAGAGCCGTGACCCAGAAACCTAGAGTAGATGAGTGGATTCGGGGGCAATGGAAAATGTCACCAGCCTCAGGGGGATCCAGGAGGATGACCTTTGAGATCATGGGTGACTTTGGAGAGAGCGGTTTCAATTGAATGATGAGGTCAGAAGCCAAATTGTGGAGAATTAAGAGACTGAGAGGAAAGGACGTGGAGGGGCTGGCCTATAGCCAGCCTTCTCAAGGAGTCTAGAAAGGAGGGGGTGTGTGTGTGTGTGTGTGTGTGCATATTTCTTCCTCTCCGCCCTCCTTCCCTGTTACTAGAGAAGGCATCCCCTCCTCCCAGTCCCTCAGCCTCACAGTCCAGGAATCATCCTGGACCCCTCACTAGCTCTCACCACCCAATCCCCCCATCCTCACTCCATGTCTGATCAGTCAGATCTCTTATTTTTGCTTTCAGCAGTTGTCGTATAAACTCCCTTCTTAGTGAGGGTTTTTGAGGTTGGGGGAGACACAGACGTGTTTGTAGGCTGTAGGGAAACAGTCTGTAGACAGGGCTTGAATATAAGTGAGAGTAGGGGTGATAAAGGAGGCAGTCTGCTAGAGAAGACAGGATGGAAGGGGATCACCTGTGCATGTCGAAGGGTTTGCCTTGCCAAGGAGCAGAGCCAGTTGTTGAGACAAGTAGAAGAGGTGGTAGTGGCAGAAGGCATCTAAGTGATAGATGAGGGTGGGAGAAGGGGGAGCTCTTCATGAATGACTTTCAGTTTTTTCAGTGAAATGCCTTTCAGAAAAGGCAAGTTTCTCGCTGAGAATAGAGTAAGGGGGGAGCCGTGGGAGGTTTAAGATTTGGACAAGCTGCTGTGGTAAGTGGTATGGTGAGTTCATTAAGGAGATGTGAAAAAATTGCCTTGCTGCTGTGAGGGCCCAGTTGAGATTACTGTAACATAAATTTGTAGTGGACCCAGTCAACTGAATATCCTGATTTTCTCCAGCTTAGTTCATCAACATGTCTGACACATGCCTCTTTTACAGCATGCCCTAGATGAGAACATGGATCTCCTTCTCCTTAATGGAATCACAGGCTTTGAAGATTCCGTCCGAAAGTGTAAGAAAACCTCCCCCATTCCCCCTCCAGTTGAAGTGAGCAGGCTTGATTAGAGAAGGAAGCCCAGGGAGGCTGCTTGGGATAAGAGGTAGATAACTCCTAAGGAGGGAAATTGCCTTCTGATCCTCTTCCCCTTTCCAATCCCCACAGTTATCTGCCACGTTGTGGGCATCACATATCAACATATTGACCGCTGGCTGCTGGCTGAGATGCTAGGAGATCTGTCAGGTAAGGCCTGCCTTGGAGAGGAAAGCACAGGACTTGTGTTCTTATGCACCATGCCTTGGCTGGACCTGTATGTTTCTGAAGCATGTTCATAGTCCACAAGAGCAGCTATATGTTTTGTCTAGTACCCCAGCAACAAGTCCTTCTTGAACACTTAGTGTTCATTAATTCATTTATTAAACATTTGTTGTTAAATAAATAACAATAGGGAACTAGGAAAAATAGAGTTTAGGTGAAACCCACTCCCTGACATCATATACTTCCTGGTCTCATCGGGTGCCAGAGTTCACAGATAACTGTAATACCCTCCTTTATGTGTTAACTGCTTGCAGAGTGGAGTCAGAATGATACAATACAATAAACATTAAATGTCTACTACGTGCCAGGCACTGTGCTGAGCACCAGGAATACAAATAAGAAAAAGAAAGATGGTCCCTGCCCTCAAGGAGCTTAGAGTCTAACGAAGGAAAACAGCCCAAAAACTTGGAGGGAGGGACAGAGGGGTATGTTGTTGATGGAATCAAAACCAAGCAGTGCCGCTGTTGGGAAGTGAAGAGTTGGCCGGGCTTTTAGCCTTGAAAGAGGGCTCAGAAAAGGGAGGCTTTGGGAGGAGAAGCAGCAGCTGAGGATTCCGATGAGGCGTGAGGAGCAAAGCTAAGCTTGGCTTTGCGTGGGGTCTGATAGTAGAGTTGCTCAGTGGGTATCACTGCAGAGACGGTGTGAGCTCATCTTCAGATAGCACGGGATTTCAGTCTAGAATATACTGCCTGCCCTCAAAGATCATATAGTCTTCCTGGAGACAGAAGACTTTCATGAGATAAATATGATTAATTACCAAGCTGGAAGGTGCTTGAGTGGGGCCCTGAAGGGAGGCAGTGGGGGTTGTGCAGGGGAGGGCATCCCCTAGCCCCAGCTGTCCCCACATAACAACTCTTGCCTTTCCCGTCCCTTTTCCAGGACCCTTCCCCCTGGAAGGTGTCCCTATTATTGATCCAACTTGGGGGGCGGGGGGATGGCCCTGAGTCTCTTTCTGACCTCCCTTCCTATCCCATTCCAGACAACCAGCTGAAAGTGTGGATGAGCAAATATGGCTGGAGCTCCAATGAGGCAGGGCAGGTCTTCATTTGCAGCCAAGAAGAGAGTATTAAACCCAAGAACATTGTGGAAAAGATCGACTTTGAAAGTGAGCCTTGCCTCGCAGGGCTTGGGGGAGGGGAGGCCATAGGTGGGGGGGCTCTCCTTCCCATCCCCGGCTTGGTCACTGGCTATCAAAAAATAGAGGGCCCTGCCTGGCATCCCCAGGCATTCTAACTTTCGGTCCCTCGAGGGGTCCCCAGGGCCTCAGCCTCATTTTCTTTGAGGCAGTCCCAGTGTCTTGCCCCCCAAGGAAATTCCTTTCTGGCTGGAGAGTGGGGGTGGAAGATTGGAACAAGGAGCTCGCCCAGGGAGGGCTCCGTGTGTGGCCTCCCCCTGATCCTGAGTCTGGTTTTCTATTTCTGCTTCTAGGTGTTTCCAGCATCATGGCCTCCTCCCAGTAACTCCTTCTGCGGAATGTCTCCTCCCTTAAGTACAGCCAGCTTCTTAAATAAAAGCCCTTTACTTCCTGGCCCGGCCTTTTGCTGAAGCTTCCTCCCAGATTCTATCCCTGGGCCCCTTGGGTGGAGGCGGAGATTTAACCTTTCCTCTGCCGCCCAGTGTACCCTGCCTTCTACCCTTGTGTTTCCCTGGCTGCCCACTGGAGGGAGTGTTGGAGTGGCCAGCCAGGCTGGTTCTCCCATTGAGAGGTGGGCTGTGTTGTGGGGAGTGGGGCAGCTAAAGAACGTTTACTCCCTGGCCTGTCTCTTGTCCTCAGGCAGGGAGCCAAGTTGCCACTCCCTCTCTGGTTGCTGGTCCAAGGGCCCTGGGTCTTGGAATCACCCTGCTGACTCCTTTCTGGGTGAGGCTGCCCTCAAGCCCCAGGGTGGGGCTACAGCAGGTGTTTGGGGGGGGGTTCTGGAGACACTCTAGGGAAGGGGAAAAGCTTGAGACAATCCTGCCCTCCTGACCCCTTTCCCGGCAGCAGGACTTCTATTTCTCCCTCCAGCCCACTTCCCGTTGCTGACCCTGACCCCAGCACTGGCTGACCTAAAGGAGAAGCCGGATGTGTTGGGGCTTCAGAGGGAGTGTTAAGGAATGTGGGAGATATGAGGGAGATGGAGTAGTAGATGAAGCGTTATGAATGACATGAGTCAGCCCCAAGGACAGATGAAGCCTTAATCTCTGCAAAGAACACTCCCTCCCACCCTGGTCTTAGGGCCAGAGTCAGTCACCTGTAAGGTAGAGGAGGAATGACGGACTGAGCTCACAGTCACTCCAGCTCAGGAATTCTGTGGGCAAGGTTTGGGGGGAGGAGGGCTGTCTTGACCATTGATTTCTGGCTGCACAGGTTTGAGGTGTATAAGTGGGAGGAGTGGCCGGAGTGAGACCTTGTCCAGGGTGAGCCAGGGGTCTTCAGTTTTCTCCTCAGTTGGGTGTGAATTGGAAGTGCTTTCTTGCTCCTTGCCTGCACTGACCCTGTACTAACTAGGCTTACCTGTGTCAGTCTTTACCCCTTGCCCTACAATCCAAATAGATGCATGGGTATGAACTCCACCCACCCAAAGTGAGGGCAGATCTGTTTGAACTGGGGTGGAAAAACCAGGTGGCAGACAGGTATGACCCCGGACAATCTCCTTCCACTTGTGGCTCCATATTTTCTCTGTAAAATGAAGGATTCTGTGATCTCTAAAGTCCCTTCCAGATACAAAATCTGAGTTTCCTGGTGGTGGCTGGATGAAATGAACCACCTCCCTATCCCAAAGAACACATACACCCCCCCAGGAGGGAGCTGATTCCCGGAGCCTGGGTGGGGCCCTTCTCACCTCTGCCCAGAACAGACCAAAGGAAAAGCACTGTACAGAGTGACTTCTGATCCTCAGCCAAGCCTGAGGAAGCTTCCCGTAAGGAGAACTGAAGGCCTTCCCAACGCAATTCTGTCTCTTGGCTGTCCTCAAGGTAGAGACAAGAAAGCAAACACAAAGAGGCTAACCTGCCCAGTTTCACATTTGTGTGTGGCACCCAGATCAGCTTTTTTGGTTGAAAGGGCCCTGAGATCATGCCACACAAAGTGACCTAGAGAAGACTGAAGGTAGGAGAGGAGTGCTGTCTTCACTTACTCCCAGAATTTTGGGAGGAACAAACCTTGGAGAGCCGCAGTGGCCAGGGTGAGGGAGAAGAGCAGAAACGCCACACAGCAGTTGGAGGCTTGATCCAAGGAAAGGAGTCCCAAGAGGCCTAGTCCAATGTGTGGTGGGCTGCCCTGAGATCTTCCAGGAAATGCTGCATGGTCATCAACTCTACTGGGGTGTTCTAGGTGCTAAGTTCCCTGACTTCTCAGGCCAAAAGTGCACTAGCCACCTGAGTCCTGATTCCATGACTGACTGGCCCAGGAACCTGAATACACCTTCTGCCCTGGGCCAATTTGCCCCTCTGTTGGCATCCTGGGGATTCACCATATTGGTGCTGGGCTTCATGGGGATGCCCAACGGGTATAGTCCACTGCAGCTTGGAGCTTCTGAGCTCGGGCAACGTACCAGCCTCGGCCTCCTCAGTCAGATGGATTAGGGGCCTGCTCCCCCATGCTCAGCCAGCTCTGATGTTCTTTGATCTAGTTCAACCCTTTCATTAGAGAGATGAACCACAACTCCTAGAGAGGAGGAGACTTGGCCACAGCCCTTCAAAGAGTAAGGCAGCTGGGAGCTGAATGCAGCTACGCCCTCAGATTCAAATCAAGCCCTCTTTCCTCTACACCAGGAAGGAAGATGGCTATGCTTGCGACTTATGGAGAAGTGGTGGTTCTGGGAAGAAAAAAAGAGGGGAAGGGGGAGTCAGGGGAGCGGCAGAGATGCAATCTTCATTCACTGCTCCTTACGGAGCTGGGAAATGTCTGGTTCTCGCCTTTCCCAGCCAGCAACAAAAGACTAGTATGAGATCGATCATAGGAGAGAATTCATGGGTAAGACCCAAGGAGAGGCAGCATGTGGAGAGAGAACTGGATCTGGACTCAGAAGACCTGACCATGTGTTGGCTGGGTCATCTTGGGCAAGTCAAACTCTCCCTGAGATTTAATTTCCCCGTTTGTATCAAGAACAAAAATAATTATATCAATAAATACTGAAACATCTTTTAACAAATACAAAATCCATTTTTTTTTTAAATAGAATGGTGTTTGTATAGGAATAAATAGGCCTTTCCTTAAGATGGTAAGTACCATATATCTAAAATAATAGCTAGCACTCATATACTACTTAGTATGTGCCAGGCACTGTGCTAAACACTACAAATATCTCACTTGAGCCTCATGACAATCCTGGGAGGTAGGTATCATTATTACCCTCATTTTACAGTTGAAGAAACTGAAGTAAATAAGAGACTTGCCCAGGGTGATACAGCTAGTGAGTGCCTAAGATCAGATTTGAACTCAGGTCGTCCCGACTTCAGGCCCAGCTTCCATCCACTCAGTATTCCACCATGCTGCCACATGCCAGCATTCTATATTATGGAAATAAACTAGAATCCCTTCCAATAAGACCAGGGGTGAAGCAAGGATGTCCATTGTCACCGCTTCTATTCGATGTAGTGCTAGAAATGATAGCTTTGACATCAAGTGAATAACAAAGAAAAAACAAAATGATCACTATTTGAAGATTATATATAGATAGATAGATAGATAAAATGACGTACTTAGAGTACCTAAAGAATCAACTCAAAATTAATTGAAACAATAAACTTCAGCAAATTTGCAGGATATAAAATAAATCCACATACATGATCAACATTTCTACATAATACCAATAAAACAGCAGGAAGTATGAAAATTCATATAACTATAAAATATATAAAATACTTTTGAGTTTCCTTATCAAGATACATAAAAGAACTTCATGAATACAACTACAAAACCCTATTTATGGAAATAAAAATAGATCTAAGTAATTGGAGGGTAGGCTTAGCTGATACGATAAAAATTATACTACTACTTAAATTAATTTACTTATTCAGTGCTGTACCAATCAAATTACCAAAGGCTTGTTTTATAGAGCTAGAATTAAAAATAACAAAATTCGTCTGGAGGAGCAAAAGGTCAAGAATTACAAGAAAATTAATGGGGGAAAAATAGTAGGAAGAAAGGGGACCTATACCTATACTATAACACAATGTCATCAAAACAATTTGTTAATGGCTAGAAAATAGATCAATCATTGGAACTGATTGCATACCTACATACAGGTACAAACCATTCGAAAGCAAGTTAACCTAGTAGTCTAGTGTTTGATAAACCCAAAGATAGTTTGATAAACCCCCCCAGCTCCTGGAGTAACGACTCACTGTTACTATATGACAAAAACAGCTGGAAAAATTGGATAGCACTCTGATATAAATAGCATTTAGACCAACACCTCACAGCACATCCCAAGATGAGTTCCAAATGGATACATGACCTAGATGTAAAAGTTCACAAATTAGAGGAGCAAGGGAAAAATTACCTTTCAGATTTATAAAGGAAGAGTTCATGACCAGACAAGGGAGAATCACAGATGATCAAGAGAGGATCACAGAAGATAAAATGGATAATTTTGATTATATAAAACCAAACAAGATTTTTCACCAACAAATCCAATACAGCTAAGATTAGAAGAGAAACACTTAACTCGGAAATCTTTGCAACAAGTTTCTTTACTAAAGGTCTCATTTCCAAGATATATAAGGAAGTGATTCAAATTGATAAAAGCTCAACTGACAAATGATCCAGGAATACGAACACGTAATTCTCAAGGGACAAAGTCTAACCAATCAATGCCACATTTTTAAAAAATGCTCCAAATCAATGATAATTAGAGAAACACAAAATAAAGCAACTCTGAGGTTCCACATCATACTCATCAGATTGACAAAGTTGACCCAAAAAAATGGCAAATGCTGGTGGGGCTGTGGGAAAACAGGCATATGGCAGAGTAATGAATGGGTCTAGCCTTTCTGGAAAGCAGTTTGGAACAATGCCCAAAAAGTTATTAAACTGTAACTGTCCTTTGACCCAGAGATACCAATACTAGGGCTATAGCACAATGCAATCAAAGAAAGAGGAAAAGGTCCCCTATGTACAAAAATGTTTATAAGCAGCTCTGTTTGTGGTGGCAAAGAACTGGAAATAAAAGAGTGCCTCTGAATTGAGGAATGACTGAACAAAGTATTATACATGACTGCAATGGGAAACTACTATGCTATAAAAAATGAAAAGACAGTTTCAGAGACCTGAGAAGACTTGTGTGAATTTCTTCAAAGTGACGCGAGGAGACTCAAGAATAAGTTTTTAACTATAACATCAACATTGTAAAAACAATTATGAAATATTCTTTAAGTCTTAAGACTTAAATCTGATTAATGCAACAATCAACTGATTTCGTTTTCAACTGTTGATGAAGAAAATTGCCCACTTCCTACTAGAGGGGTGATGAACTAATATGCTAAATGAGACGTATTTTTGGACATGGCCAGTTACAAAAGTCTTGTTTTTCTCTTCTTCCTCCC